TTAAAATCTTCCAAAGAAGGAGCCTCTACCATACTCCAGGGCAGAGAGTTCCACTGCTGAACAGCTCTCACTGTCAGAAAGTTCTTCCTAATGTTCAGATGGAATCTCCTTTCTTGTTGTTTGAAGCCATTGTTCCTCGCCCTAGTCTCCAGGGCAGCAGAAAACAACTTCGCTCCCTCCTCCCTATGACTTCCTCTCACGTATTTACACAGGGTCATCATGTCTCCTCTCAGCCTTTTCTTCTTCAGGGTAAACATGCCCAGCTCTTTAAGCTGCTCCTCATAGGGCTTGTTCTCCAGACCCTTGATCGTTTTAGTCGCCCTCCTCTGGACACATTCCAGCTTGTCAATATCTCTTTTCCATTGTGGTGCCCAGAATTGGACACAATATTCCAGGTGTGGTCTAACCGAAGCAGAATAGAGGGGGAGCATAACTTCCCTGGATCTAGACACTATACTCCTATTTATGCAGGCCAAAATCCCATTGGCTTTTTTTGCCACCCATCATATTGTTGGCACATGTTTAACTTGTTGTCCACAAGGACTCCAAGATCTTTTTCACATGGACTGCTCTCGAGCCACATGTCCCCCATTTTGTATCTTTCATTTTTTCTACCTAAGTGAAGTCTCTTACATTTGTCCCTGCTGAACTTCATTTTGTTAGCTTTGGCCAATCATCTCTCTAATCTGTCAAGGTCATTTTGAATTCTGCTCCTATCTTCTGGAGTACTGGCTATCCCTCTCAACTTGGTGTCATCTGCAAACTTAATGATCATTCCTTCTAACCCTTCATCTAAACACATGAGCATCTCTTCTTCTGTAGTTTTGAAGTACTCTCTGGCTACAGATTGCAAATTGTCATACAATGTCATGTATTTCATATCCTGTTGTGGAACCTTTGAATACATTTAGTCTAACTTCTCAATTTGTTAAGAAAGAGAAGGAGAGACTGAAAGATGGAGAACCCTATATTCAAGTCAAGCAAGTCCTCAGTGAAAATTTGAGATGAATCTCAAAGACTTTGTAGAATGTCTTTGAGATTCTACAAAGTCTTTGAGAGAACTTCACTTTTTCTTGGACATATCAACTCTGCGGAATGTTTACATGGAGAAGACTGAGTGAAAAGAGAGCCATTGACAAACAGAGCCGTTTGTGGTTTCGTCATCTCTGTTGTTATACAGATTGGCTTTCGGTCTTCTTTCTCTCCCGCCCAACACAAACTCTGTCCAGCAACTTTGCATTACAGGAAACATCTGCTTGGAGGGAGGGAGGGTGGGTGAAGGCTGGGTTACTATAGGGCATTGGCCAAGAGAATAACCCAGAGACTGAAACTAACATGTGCAAGTCATTTTGGTGTCTTTCCCCCACCCGCTCCTTCCACGAGAGAGAGAGAGAGAGAGAGAAAAATTAACAAGGAATAAAGCTGTCTTTTAGAGAAGAGACGGAACAAGGAGTGTCCAAGCCAGTCACTGGATTGACTCCAAACATTACTCTGCATGGAGAAAAGGTCTGGAGCTGGATTGACTCCTTGCTGCTCCAGAGATGCCAATTGAAATTGAGAAGCGGTGCAAGGCTGGATATTAGCTCTAGGTTTTGGAGGTGCAGCTCCTTTTTGCCTTGAGGAGCACTTGGTTACCATCGACCTATTACAGTCTTGTTAACAGCCCTGTGGGTTGCTTTCGTTGGGTACTATTCTTATCATCTGCTCCGAAGACATCTCTGCAGGATGGCAAGATAACCACCAAACCTGTCTGAATGAACTGTTTTCATGTTCCTTCACCTTTGGATCTGAAAAACCATGCCTGAAGAGAATGCAGACATGCAGCCTGTACTTTTCCAAGCAACTGTTCGTATCTTTCAATAATTTGGATCATAGTCCTGAATGTTAAGACTGTTTTGGTCCTGAAATTCACACACCACGAGAGAAAGGTGACCGGTAAAGCCAGCGTGGTACACCAATGTGCTATCATGGATGCTCTATCCGAATGTGGTGCCCTTTGGAGTCTTCTGCTGGATCTAGAGGACGAGAGACTCCTGTGGTACCTGGAGCAGTTGCATGATTTCTCTGAAGATAATGAGAGCTCTGGATGGGAAGAGATCCCAGCTGTGAGTGTCTTCCTGTTGAATCCATTCTTCACGCTGATGTTCTTGTATTATCTTCTCACCTATTGCTCAAGTTGAGTTGACCATTTAGAGGAAGACGTAACCAAATGTATTTCCAGTAGTTTTCTCTCATGAAATCCCAAGCATAGGAAAGTCCAGAATTCCATAGCACCATCCCTTATCCTCTTATATGCCTTCTACCTATACTAAGTCAGGGTGAAACAGAAGATGCTGTTATTTCAGCATCCCTATGTGTTTTTAACAATAGATCGAGATTTCTGTGAATAACGATCATAACATTTTCTAGATCTCTCAGGATACAAATTCTTTTGAAAATTAACAGGATTTAAATGCCAATTTTGACAGCATTTCATCAGGTTGCAACCTCTAACTATTGGTAACCGGGTGCACACATATGCAATATATTTGTATGTGTTTGTTCAAATGTTGTATATGCGTGTGTGTGTGAGTGAGAGAGAAAGTAACACTAGCCATTACTTTCATTCCAACTGGCATTGCTAAAGAAAGGTGAAGTTGAACCATCTGATTTGTGACTCATATAAATCCCTAGTATTAGTTATTTCATTAAATTTAAAATAATTTTATAGTTTAATATAATAGCTGGGTGCACACACTTGTAATATATTTGTATGCATTTGTACAAATGTCGTATATGAGTTCTTGTGTGTGTGTGTGTGTGTAATACTAGCCATTACTTTCATTCCAACTAACATTGCTAAAGAAAGGTGAAGTTGAACCATCTGATTTGTGACTTATATAAATCCCTATTATTAATTATTTCATTAAATTTATAATAATTTTATAATTTAATGTAATAGCTGGGTGCACACACATAATATGTTTGCATGTGTTTATACACATGTAATATATGTGTTACATGTAATATATTTGTATATGCTTGTACACATGTAGTTTATGTGTGGAGCCCCCGGTGGCGCAGGGGGTTAAACCGCTGAGCTAATGAGCTTGTTGACCAAAAGTTCGCAGGTTCAAATCCGGGCAGCGGCGTGAGCTTCCTCTGTCAGCCCCAGCTTCTTCCAACCTAGCAGTTTGAAAACATCCAAATCTGAGTAGATCAATAGGTACCGCCTTGGTGGGAAAGTAACGGCGCTCCATGCAGTCATGCCGGCCATATGACCTTGGAGGTGTCTACGGACAACGCCAGCTCTTTGGCTTAGAAATGGAGATGACCACCAACCCCCAGAGTTGGACACAACTGGACTTACTGTCAGGGGAAAGCCTTTAACTTTACCTAATATATGTGTGCTTGAGTGTGTTTGTGTGTGTGAAAGAGAGAGAGAGAGAAAGTAATACTAGCCATTACTTTCATTCCAACTGACATCACCAAAGGAAGGTGAAGTTGAACTATCTGATTTGTGACTCATATGAATCCCTGTTATTAGTCATTTCATTAAATTTAAAATAATTTAATGGTTGATTGTATTCTTCAGAGAGATGGTTCTACCTGTCTTCAATGCTGTTTGATGGTTATATTCATAAGGTGCACCCCATTATCATTAATGTTGGTTTCTTCAAACAAGTGGCAGTTTAATTATGTGTATTGTGGTTCAATAATAAAGAAAGGATACTTGAAAAGTTTTTGCAATGTATGAGAGGTTGTAGATGGCTGAAATGCACACGTCTAAGGAATTTCTATGTCTTGAGGCAAAGAGTTGAGCGGTTGAGCAATAAAGCATGGGTTTCATGGTTTGTTTGGTTTTTTTGTTCTAAATTCTAAAACTTGCCAGAGGCAGTGAAAATATAATAGCTGGAGCTGCTGGAGAAACCTGTTATAGATATATTGTCCTATAAGTTATGGATGGTTGTTTTCTTAATCAGTTCATAATAGACTCACAATATTGGGTTTCTGTTTGGCCAAACCAGACAATCCACAGCCATAAACATGTTTGGATGGCGGTTCTCCGTCTGGTCATGCAAGTCCTCGATCCTGTTAGTTCAGGTGTAATTTTATCAACAAAGTTGTGGAAGTCAGTTCAGTTTTCCATTACGTGGGTGAATTTGAGACCTTGTCCATGAATGAACAACTCCATCTCAGCTTAGGTGAGATATTCTGTGGCTAGCACTAGGGGAGGAAGGCTGCTTCTCTGTTACACCATGTCTTCAGACTATACAAAGCCAACATTGCCTGCTGAGGTTGGTTAGAGGGAGAAGGTCCCATAGCTTTTCCAAGAGTTGCCAAGAGATTCTTAGAAAAGAGAGCAACCCTAATGTCAACGTCTTTAAGGTCCCTAAAGTTTCAGCAGGAGAGTCCATTGTATCTCTTCTTTAAAAAGAAAGAAATGTGATTCCAATTTACACAACATCCCTATGAAGACGAATATAGAAATCAGATGATAGGAATTATCCTACTTTACAACTTAAGTAGTTTCTTAGGAACTCAATAGCAATAAATGAAGTAGATAACACAAAGCAAGACCTGGCAAAGCTCATTTTTCTTCTTCCCTCCCTCTACTTCTCCCTCCTACCCCAAATTGGAACACCGTGGTCTGAACAAATGCCTTGCAGTTTGTACTTTGATTTTTCAACAAATGTTTGCAAGTGAGGTTTTCTTTGGTAACATGTTTGGGATGTTTCTTAATGCTCTTATGTGCCTTGTGGTGTGGCCTGAACAGAATGGAATGGCCCTTCTGTTGTGCGCTCTTCTGATAAAACTATCCCTCTCTCCTGTATTTTCTGCCTAATTCGTCACCACCCGACCTCACCACACCAGCTTCTCTCCCCCATTATTCACACCTGAAATGGGATAATATTATCTACGGCTTTTTCCCATTTAGTTAATACTTTCCCTTCATTGCTCCTTTCTCTCACCACCCGTTGCCTCTGTTTCTTTCTAACAGAGTCTCCCCTCTTTTGCAGGTACTGAGTCCGACCTACAAGCAGCGGAATGAAGACTTCAGGAAACTCTTCAAACAGCTTCCCGACACAGAGCGCCTCATCGTAGGTAAGACCTCATCCAGTGTATTCTCTCCATGGTGTCTTCAGAAGTTACATTTATACAGCAAACCTTGAATATAAACTTGAATAGCTCAGGCCTGACAGCTAAACCAGAAAATCTCAATTGGGTGATCTCCCACGAGGGTCTGCCTCCAGGGGCAAACCAAGAATGGGCAACTCGGAAGTCGCTGAACAGACTCAGAAGTGGAGTGAGTAGATGTTCTGCTGTGCTTTTGAGTAGTCAATTCCTTAGATAGTTGGCCCCAGCTAGCACTCTAAGTCTTGTCCTCGCACTTTACTATTGCTCCTATGTTTACTATTGCTGTATGTTACCCGGTGGCACAGTGGGTTAAAGCCCTGTGCCGGCAGGACTGAAGACTGACAGGTCGCAGGTTCAAATTCGGGGAGAGGCGGATGAGCTCCCTCTATCAGCTCCAGCTCCTCATGCGGGACATGAGAGAAGCCTCCCACAAGGATGATAAAAACATCAAATCATCCAGGCGTCCCCTGGGCAACGTCCTTGCAGACGGCCAATTCTCTCACACCAGGATTCACTCCTGACACGACAAAAAAAAAAAAAAACCTGGTCATGGCCAGCATTATTTTTAAATTTTAATTATTAAATTTGGCCCAGCCATAGGTTTTAAACGTCGTCGTGTTATTGTTAATGTTTATTGCTTATCTTCTGTTTATGAGTTTATTTATTGTTTTGTATTACCGTTGCTATTGTTTTATTGTCGTATTGTGGGCTCGGCCTCATGTAAGCCACACTGAGTCCCTTGAGGAGATGGTAGCGGGGTACAAATAACGTTTTTTTTTTAATTATTATTATTATTATTACTGCTGCCCTATGTCCCATGCACTTTATGATTTAGCCCTATCCTTTAAGTTATTGTTGCACAGTCCACCCACCCGTGATGATAAACTGCATTTTTTATTGGTTGTTGATTTTGATGCCTGCTTTATATTGTTAAAATGTTGTTGTTTTACTTTGTTTTGCACTGTTGTTATGTATTTTAATGTGTTACATTTTAACTGTCTTGATCGGGCTTGGCCCCATGTAAGCCGCCCCAAGACCCCTCAGGGAGATGGAGGCAGGGTACAAAAATAAAGTTGTTATCATCATCATCAAAAGACAACCTGGCAAAATGGCACTGCTTAAAAGAATCCCCTAACTTGTGTGACTGTGGAGCAGAACAGGCAGCCTCTGCTCCTGTATGCTTGTCCACAATGCCCTGCCTCATATACAGAGGAAGAATTGTTTAAGGCTACAGACAATGTGGTCACTATTGCCTGGTTTTGGTCAAAAATTATTTAGCCACGTGTGCTCTTTCTATTTTTATCATTTTTGTACTTATGTATGCAGTGCTTTTGCCACAAAATAAATAAAACTCAGACCTATTGATTCCAGCCATGGGTTCATATGCAACCATGTCACATAAATTAAGGGCACAATGCATAACTGGTAATTTTAAAGCAGTCGGTATTAAATGAGATGTCTTGTTTGGTTATAAGATGTTTGTTCAGTGTTAATTAATTTATAAATATTTATTAAGCTGTAAATAAATTCAGATATTAAAAAGCAGTTGAAAGAAAGATACAATTTAAATAATGTAACATGAAAATATAGTGCCTACCTGGTAGAAAACCTTAGGAACGAGCCCATTATCTTCAACAAAAATGCTATAAAAGGGCACCATCTTATTTAAGAAAGGATGATATCTTAAATCCAATTGCTAGCCGCGAATAAGAGCCCCCCCCCCCCCCCCGGTGGCACAATGGGTTAAACCTTTGTGGCAGGACTGCTGACTGAAAGGTCACGGTTTGAATCTGGGGAGTGGGGTGAGCTCCTGTCTGTCAGCTCTAGCTTCTCATGCAGGGACATGAGAGAAGCCTCCCACAGGATGGTAAAATATCTGGGCCTCCCTTGGGCAACATCCTTGCAGATGGCCAATTTTCCCACACAAGAAGCAACTTGGAGTTTCTCAAGTCGCATCTGACATGGAAAAAAAGAGCAGTCAAATAGATTAGATGCATTGAACTGGCTGTTGACCAATAAGTCAGTATGTTTATAAATCCCACTGGTTTGATGAATCTGTTCTGCTTGGTTCTAGTACTTGGATTTGATCCATTTATTCACATAACAGTGAAATACAAGAACATTCAGACAAAATATTGCATTCCTAGAGAGTTGTCGCAATTTTGTTATTTGCTGTTTTTCACTTTCATGGGGATCCTGTGCCATATCCCTAGTGAAGGTGGACCGAATATTGTTTGAGGCACCCAGTTGTATTTAGGAATTTATTTATTTATTTATTTATTTATTACTGGCGCTTTCTCTATAGATTACTCCTGTGCACTTCAAAGAGACATTCTCCTGCAGGGCCGACTCTACCTCTCTGAAAACTGGATATGTTTCTACAGCAACATTTTTCGTTGGGAAACATTGGTGAGATAGCCCCCTCCCCTGGTACCCTGCTATGCCATAAGTCAGTGTTTCTGAACCTTCTGAATGCCACGACCCCTTAATACAGTTCCTTATGTTGTGATGACCCCCAACATTATTTTCGTTGCTACTTCATAAGTGTCATTTTGCTTCTGTTACGAATCGTAATGTAAATACCTGATATTTTCATTCACTGGACCAAGTTTGGCACCAATATCCGATAAGTCCAAATTTGAATGCTGGGGGGGTTGGATTGATAATGTCATTTGGGAGTTGTAGTTGTTGGGATTTATAGTTCACCTACAATCAAAGAGCGTTCTAAACTCCACCAAGGATGGAACTGAACCAAACTTGACACACAGAACTCCCATGAGGAATAGAAAATACTGGAAGGTTTTGATGGGCATTGACCTTGAGTTTTGGAGTTGTAGTTCACCTACATCCAGAGAGCACTTTGGACTCAACAATGATGGATCTAGACCAAACTTGACAGGAATACTCAATATGCCCAAATGTGAGCACTGGTGGAATTTGGGGAAAATAGACCGTGATATTTGGGAGTTGTGGTTGCTGAGATTTATAGTTCACCTATAATTAAAGAGCATTCTTAACACCACCAATGATAGAATTGGGCCAAACTTTCTACACAGAACCCGGCTGACCAACAGAAAATACTGTATTTTCTGATGGTCTTTGGTGACCCCTCTGACACCCCCTCACGACCCTCTCAGGGGTCCCGACCCCCAGGTTGAGAAACGCTGCCATAAGTGCTTCTTTCAAGGATGGACTAAAAGCACTGGGATTGGGGTACTACACCTTCTCCTTATGCTCCCTAATGTTCTGCTTGTTCATTTCTTGGGACAGTTGACAGTCCGTTTGAAGGACATTTGCTCCATGACCAAGGAAAAAACTGCACGACTCATTCCTAATGCTATCCAAGTTTGCACTGACACTGAAAAGGTATGTTTTATGATCACCCCTTCTTGGTTCCTCAGCTAAGAGCAGAAGGTTGCCCTGGAAGACAGGTCCTTAAAGTTGAGTAGAATCAGATCCAGGAATGAACTGACACTGGAGAGAAGCAATAATGTGTTGGGTTTGGGAGACATTTTGCTTCTTAATGCATGATCTGCATATACTTTTATCCCATTGTCAAGTAGGCAACAATTTATAAATTTAAGTACCCTAAAGCAGTGGTTCCCAACCTGTGGTTTGTGGACCTCCAGTGGTACTCAAGAACTTCACCAGTACTACACCGTTGCCTCCAAACCACATGGCAACACTTGATCTCAGCCAAAAGTTGGCAAAAGTGATTAAAGCCAGCCCTCCATATCCACGGATTTGGCAACTACAGATTCAACCATCTTCAGCTTGGATTTGGCTTCCCCCAATCTCAAAAGCAAACCTTGATTTTACCTTTTTATATAAGGGATATGATTTTATTATAGAAATGTCTATATTGGGACTTGAGCATCCATGGATTTTGGTGCCCTGGAATGAAACCCTATGGATAACGCAGGTCAATTGTATTTTTCGTACTTGAATTGCGGCAAACTGACTTCAGTTTTGTATTTTGTGGTTCATTTTATGTTCTCTTTTAGACACTTTGTCTAAAACAAAAATAAAACTAGTGGGTTGTTGTAGGTTTTTTCGGGCTATATGGACATGTTCTAGAGGCATTCTCTCCTGACGTTTTGCCTGCATCTATGGCAAGCATTCTCAGAGGTAGTGAGGTCTGTTGGAACTAGACAAAAGGGTTTATATATCTGTGGAATGACTAGGGTGGGACAAAGAACTCTTATCTGCTGGATCTAGGTGTGAATGTTTCAACTGACCACCTTGATGGCCTGGCAGTTTTTTGGTGTGGCTTGTTAGTGCCTGGGGGAATCTTTTGTTTCCTCCTTTGAAAATGAATAAAATCTGGCTACCAGTATTAAAAAAACTCTGAAATTACAACAGCAAAATGACAGAGAGGAACCAATCAGGGACAGCTAATCACCTCTCAACAAAAGATTTCCCCAGGCACCAACAAGCCAAACCAAAAAACTGCCAGGCCATCAAATGCTAATCAAGGTGGTCAGTTGAAATATTCACACCGACCTCCAACAGACAAGAGTTCTTTGTCCCACCCTGGTCATTCCACAGATTATATAAACCCAAATTTCCTAGTTCCTAGTTCTCACTACCTCTGAGGATGCTTGCCATAGATGCTGGTGAAATGTCAGGAGAGAATGCCTCTAGAACATGGCCATATAGCCCGAAAAAACCTACAACAACCCAGTGATTCCAGCCGTGAAAGCCTTTGACAATAAAGCTGTTTACCTTCTTATAATGTCAAGGCAATGGGGATGTTTATTTATTTATTTTATTTATTGCAGTTACTTATACCCCACCCTTCTCACCCCCAAGGGGGGACTCAGGGCGGCTTACAAACAAAGGCACAAATTCGATGCCTGTCAAAATATACAGCATATATAAAACAGTATAAACATTTAACAACATTAAAACACATCACTACATAATATAATAAAAACAATTTCATGCACAGTGAGATTCAGAGTTCCGAAATGTCCATTCATTCCAACAATTCCTGCTCATCAATGGGTCCTTATTTTAGCTGCCAGAATGTCCAAAAGCTTGGTCCCAAATCCAGGTCTTCAGCTTTTTTCTGAATGACAGAAGGGAGGTCGCTGATCTGATCTCCCCGGGGAGTGAGTTCCATAGGTGAGGGGCCACCACCGAGAAGGCCCTGCTCCTCGTCCCCGCCAGCCTCACTTGAGATAGAGGCGGGGTCGAGAGCAGGGCCTCCCCAGATGATCTTAAACTCCGAGGTGGGACGTAGAGGGAGATCCGTTCGGACAAATACACTGGGCCGGAACCGTATAGGGTTTTGTAGGTTAAAACCAGCACTTTGAATTGTGCTCGGAATTGGATCGGCAGCCAGTGGAGCTGATGTAACAGGGGGGTGGTGTGCTCCCTGTACGTCGCTCCGGTGAGCAATCTGGCTGCTTCTCGCTGGACTAGTTGTAGTTTCCGAGCAGTCTTCAAAGGCAACCCCACGTAGAGTGCGTTGCAGTAATCCAGCCGGGATGTGACAAGAGCGTGGACCACCGTGGCCAGATCTGACTTCCCAAGGTACGGGCGCAGCTGGCGCACAAGTTTTAATTGTGCGAAAGCTCTCCCGGCCACCGCCGAGACCTGGGGTTCCAGGCTCAGCGATGAGTCCAGGATCACTCCCAAGCTGCGAACCTGCGTCTTCAGGGGGAGTGTAACCCTATCTAACACAGGCTGTAACCCTATGCCCTATTCGGCCTTACAACTGACCAGTAGGACCTCTGTCTTGTCTGGATTCAATTTCAATTTGCTCTAGATTATTAAATATGGTTTTCTGTGGGCGAGCAGATGGCAACTATTGGATGGCATATCCTCTGTATCAGAAAGTAGAGCTGATGTGGTCTATCTAACCAATTTTCTGAATCAGCATCCCAAATAACCAAACCGAATCTAAAGTTGGCCAAAAACTAATTCATAATCCCTTAGATGCTAATGTTGGAGAGTGGTCCCTGGTCAAGTGGTCCCTTGTCAAAAAATAAATAAAAGGTTGGGAACTACTTCCCTAAAGCTTCTAGACCTCATCTGATCTTGAAGATAGCCCGGATCAGCTTTGGTTATTACTTGGATGGGAGCCACCAACAAATACCAGATGCTCCAGGCTAAATTCCAGAGGAAAAAACTAGCAAAGCCACCTTTAAGTAGCCCTTGCCTAAGCAAACCCTATGAAATTCATGGTGGCACCATAAGTCAAAGGTGAATTGAAGCTCCATTCTTTCCTGTGGAAAACTTTGCATAGGAAATTGTTGGTCATGGAATTAGGTGGCTTTTCTGTAACATTATGTCCTCATAGCACTAATTACACCAGGGATTGAAATTATGTGACTTCGTTGTTGTTGGACAGCAACTCCCAGCAATCCTATGCAGTATGCTCAAGAATAAGAAATGCTGGGATGTTTATTTCCCCCAAGACTTGCATCATCACACTAGAGAAAAAATCCACTTAAAATCCGGTTTCTACCTTGTGCAAAATTCAAGGGTTTGTAGTTTAGCGAAGCTGTTCAAGGCTCCTCCCTAAACTACAAACTCCAGAATTCTGCAGGAGGCAGAAAACGGATTTTAATTGGATTTTTTCTCTAGTTGTATGAGGTCCTTATAGGGCACACAGTTATAAAACTTAACAGACACTGGTGATAGTTACCAGGGGATAATTCACAGAACAATGCATTGATAGCTCTTTGGGGAGGAAAGGTGGCACATCATAAGCTGACAGTTTCATACGAAGGTTGAATAAAAAGTAATGCCTCCACCTTCGTAACTCCTCAACAGATGGCAGTACTGGTATGTGGCAGATACTGGCTTGTTCAGTAGACTCTCCTCTACAGTTCCATTTTGGCAGGAAGCCTTAGCATTGAATGGTTGTGTTGTTAAAGTGTGAAGTATGGAACCTTGCACAGACGGTCGGTCAATGCGACTTAAGCAATGTGCAGTCATTGAATTCTTGACAGCAGAAGGTGTCACTCCAAAGGAGATTCATCAAAGAATGCAAGCTCTTTATGAACACAATACCATAAACAGCTTGCATTCTCTGATGAATCTCCTTTGGTGACACCTTCTGCTGTCAAGAATTCAATGACTGCACGTTGCTTAAGTCGAATTGACTGACTATCTGCGTAGGGTTCCATACTTCGCACTTTAACAACACAACCTTCAATGCTAAGGCTTCCCACCAAAATGGAACTGTAGAGGAGAGTCTACTGAACAAGCCAGTACCTGCCACATACCAGTACTGCCATCTGTTGAGGAGTTACGAAGGGGGAGGCATTACTTTTCATTCAACCCTCGTACAAGAAGCTAAGTATTAATATCAGCAAGTAAAAAGAACACTTGAATCAAATTAGTGACAGACATTTAGTTCTCTGGGCCACCCTAACTGTGGAAAAATCAATTCAGGAGTCAAGCTTCTCAACGTCCACGTAATTTGCGAAGGAAATGGGAAACCGTAGTTCTTTTTGTCTTTGCCAACATGCTCTAAGGCAACCTTCCTTTAACCCCTTTGAACCTTTGCTCCTCACAGCACTTTTTCACTTCCTTTGGTGCCCGAGACAGAACGTACATGATGATGTTCAGGCTCTGGCAGAATGCCCTTCTTGAAAAGGTAAGGAGACATGAGGACACTTCTCATAAACCTTTCATGGTCTGAAATATTTATAGGCGGCCTTTGCAAACAAACAGTACAACAGTAAGTAATACAGGCAGTAGCACAATGGAAAACATCAGAAGTAAAATCACGCTCATAGGAAGATATTTATTTATTTATTTACAGCTTTTATATTCCGCCCTTCTCACCCCGCAGGGGACTCAGGGTGGATTACAGTGTACACATATATGGCAAACATTCAATGCCAATTTTTGACATACAAATATATACAGACATACACAGAGGCTATTTAACTTTTTCTGGCCGCCAGGGGAGCTGTCGCTTTCATCGTCCATCTGCGACGCTGATGAAGCACTTCCGCATTCCCCGCATGCTTCCCCGCTGGAATGCTTTGCTGGAGTCTTCTTTATGGCCTCATAAATCAGTTAATTTAGCCTCCCCACACTTTAAGGTGGTACCTAATTTTCCTACTTGACAGATGCAACTGTCTTTCGGGTTGCAAAGGTCGACAACAGGCTACACACAATTGGTTGGAAACCCACTCCAACCCGGGCTGGCTTCGAACTCATGGTCAGAGTGATCTTAATGCAGCTGACACTCAGCCAGCTGTGCCACAATCCCGGTGCAGAGAAAACTAACTTCAGCCAGTGCCAAAACCCCCCCAAAAACATTGGATTGATGGAAGTCCGTATCTGTCAACAAGGAGGCATGGGTGTTAGTGCTAGGTCAATCCACCTAAAGAGCACATTCCAAAGATGTCTCACCATCCCACCCACCACTTTCAGAAGATGGAGCTATCTGGAGAAGGACATTCGGTGATCTCCATGCAACAACTGTGGAAGCAATCGTTAGGTCACGTTCCCAGGACCCAACTTTCCTGGAGTTTTAGGGTGATGTTGTTTTTCTGATGCCCATCCCAGTTCACACCCAGACTATGAACATTCCTGGGGATCTGTAGAGCCAAAGGTTTGTCCCAGTCAAAAAAAAAGATACAAAAGAAGAGAAAAACAGTACAGACAAGCCTTTTCAAAAAATGCCAGCTAAAAAGGACAAGTTACCTTTCCGGGTTCCAAACATGGCCTCATTTTAATGGTGTGATTATCCCAGCATCTGTTTGCCTAGCTTTTCAAGGAGATGTTTTTTTCTTCTTCTTTTTCTCTCTTTCCGCTTTAGGATTGTGAGCATATTTGACCTTTTCACATTTAAAAAAAAATTCCAACCATTCGTAACAATTGAAGCTTTGTCCTCGATGTAAATCCCCAAGGGAAATAAAGCTAGCTTTAGTTCTCTGCTTTGTTTAGGACGTCAGTTGGGGCCCTATCTGGATAAAGTAGGCCTGGCTTCATCGGTGTTTTCCCTCATTCTCTCCATTGTGGATTGCTGTAATGTAGTCCATGCAAAGTCCCCTTGAAAATGAATCTGGGTACAGAATGTGAACACTCAAGTGCTCACCAGGTTCATAGCCAGAACATCATATTTCAGGGCCATAATTCTGGAGACTAGGGTTTTCATCCCTGCACATCCATGGAAGTGCTGGGCAAGTCACGTACTTCTTACTTAGGTGATCCCTCATAGCTCAAGGAAGATTGTCTTCCAGATGTGATGTTTTGGCGGTGGGTCCGTAGGTGGCTATAGAGCACTATTCGTGATCCGCATGTTATTCTGCAGTGAGGACATCAGTTTCCAGACAGGAGGCGGTCCTGGTCAGGGATGGCTTGATGTGCCTTCCTCTTGGCACATTTCTCCCTTTTGCCCTCTATTTATGCTTCTTTGAATTCTGCAGCACTGCTGGCCACAGCTGACCTCCAGTTAGAGTGCTCAAGGGCCAGGGTTTCACAGTTCTCGGTGTCTATGCCACAGTTTTTGAGGTTGGCTTTAAGCCCATCTTTCAGTCTCTTTTCCTGTCCACCAACATTCCGTTTTCCATTCTTGAGTTGGGAGTATAGTAACTGCTTTGGGAGATGGTGATCGGGCATTTGGACAACGTGGCCAGTGCAGCGGAGTTGATGGTGTAGGAGCATCACTTCAATGCTGGTGGACTTTGCTTCTTCCAGCATGCTGACATTTGTCCGCCTGTCTTCCCAAGAGATTTGCAGGATTTTTCGGAGGCAGTGCTGATGGAACCATTCCAGGAATTGCGTATGACGTCTGTAGACAGTCCACGTTTCACAGGTTATAGCACGGTTGGGAGGACAATGGCTTTATAAACTAGTCATCTACCATTAGCCACAGAAAAATCCATGATACACTGGCCTTAGGGTCCCCATGAGTCAGAAATAACTTAAAGGCAAGCAACAAGAAACAGCCTTTTTTGGCCTTAAATCAGAGGGCTGCTTTTGACCTTGAAAGCACTGAACAGTTGGGTCTAGATCAGGCATGCACAAACTTCAGTCCTTCAAATGTTTTGTACTTCAACTCACAGAATTCCTAACAGTTGGTAGTTGGAGTTGCAATCCAAAACATCTGGAGGGCTGAAGTTTGCCCATGCCTAGTCTAGATTATTTGGAGTGTTTCCTATATTTATATTAAACCTGTCAATGTTTTAAGCTTGTCCTCGGAGGCTTCACTTGCTAGCATGCCTCCAAGATTGGTGAGGTTGGCAGGCAGCAGACTTGAGGATTTCTTGCGTCTCCTATGGACTCTCCCTCCACAGCTGGCACCCTCTCTGTAACTGCTTTTAAGATAGTTATTAAGAACCTCCTGTTTCTCCTACCAGGAAATTTAAAATGTTTGTGCTACCTTGAAATTATATTTTACGTATCTGGCTATGTTTTTAAAAGCTCATGTTTCATCTAATTTTATTAATAGATTCATATTGTTTTCTGTGCAGCAAATTATCGCAGCATCTACCATAAATTGAAGAGACTGTTCAGATTACTCTCTTATTTAAGTAGTAGCTGTCCCCTACCACATGTTGCTGTGGCCCAGTCTGTGTTTATGTGTGTGTGTATATATATATATACACACACACACACATACATATACATATACATGTGTGTGTGTATGTGTGCGTGTGTGTGTTTGCATATATATATGTGGTTTTGTGCATGCATTGTAATTTTTTTTTGCTTTTTAAGTCGCTTCTGCTGTGTTTTTTTAGTGTTTTTATGAGTGATGGTCACTCATTGGCCTGATAGGTATAATGTGTCCAAATTTAGTGTCAGTTCATCCAGTGGTTTTTGAGATGTTAATCCCACAAACAAACATCACATTTTTATTTATATAGATGGTTTGCGATTTTCAGATGAAAATAAGAAACTCAAGTCATTGAGAAAGGCTTTCAGTTTTCCATTTATCAACATTAGGTGTCATGTTGCAAAATGTAACACTGTCATTTCTATGAAATGGTGGCAAAATAGGATGCTTTTCTGATTGTGTACAATATATTTTGCTTGTGTAAATTTTTTTGTCTGTGTAAATCATGTAGCTAATGATGGCCAGATAAGCCACTAGTTGTCCAGAGTAAATTATCAGTGTCTGGAGTCATAAAATGAGTTTAACTTTACTACTTTTTTTTTCTGCATCTTGCTTTCATGGAGATACAAGCTGATTGTCTTTCTTTTCCCTCAGCCCCTGTGTCCAAAGGAGCTCTGGCACTTTGTCCATCAGTGTTATGGTAATGAATTAGGGCTCACAAGTGATGACGAAGACTATGTGCCTCCTGATGAAGATTTCAACACGATGGGGTAAGCTCAGCTGTCCAAAAAATGTCTGAAGCAATCATGGATGTGAGGGCGATCTGGCTGAAACAGTCTTTGTTGCACAGAAGCATATTTTAGCCAAGTCCCATGCAAAAGACACACAGGCAAGAGGAAAAAAGGAACAGAAAAACTTTACTCTTACCAGCAGAGGCATAAACTTGCAGTGTTGCATACAAAATCAAACAGTGCAACAAACTTACATAGTCCTTGTAAGTAACACAGAATAAGGCAGTGGTTCTCAACCTTTCTAATGCCGTGACCCCTAAATAAAGTTCCTCAAGTTGTGGGGACCCCCAAAAATATTTGCCCACATGCTTGCCAATGCCAGAGAGCGTCCCTCTCCCAGCATTCGCAAGTGCGCGGGGGAAGGGCTGGTGGAGAGAACACGCACTGTGCACCAGCTCTCTTCCCCCACACACTTTCCAACACTTTCCAACACCGGAGAGTGTCCCTCTCCCTGTGTTCGCAAGCAGGTGGCAGAAGAGCGCACTCCCTCCACTGTCCCCTGGGCGTGCGCTCCCTCCACCAGCCCTCATCTATCACACTCTTGCCAATGCCGGGAGAAGATCTAGGCTTCTTGGGGCCTTTTTGGCACCCTTTGGATGGTGCATGGAGCATGCAGGAGGAGGCGGGGCCTAATGAAGTGGCTCCAAGACCCCTCTGAAATTGCCAAACGACCCCTCTGGGAGTCGCGACCCACAGGTTGAGAACCGCTGGAATAAGGCTTCTTCATCTTCATTCAAATGAGAGAGCAAAACATAAACCTTGTGTAAATAGCAATTCCACCATAGCAAAGAGCATCGCTGTTAGAGCATAGCAGCATTCTCCTCAGAGTAACATATTGCTTCTTCAAACTGTATTCTAAAATCCATACAGTTATACCCCACCAGATGTGGCCCAAACATGCTGGCTGACCTACATTACCACCTGCACATAGTAATTAACATCATAAGGTTTTTCTTTAACACACAATTGATCGTGCTACAACTTACTGTAACAGTCTTCAGTATGTGAAGATACAATGAATGGATTTCAGTAAATAAAGGTCCGATGCCAAATGTGTTTAAAGCGCATAAGTGGGCCAGAAATGATGAACCATACAAATGAGAGAAGCCAAACTGATATTGCTGGTGTTTATGAAAGAACATAGCATCATATTTCTTTGATAGCATGTCGTCCCCCCCCCCCCCCACTCTCTATATATATTCAGTAGTTGTATCATGTTGCTACATGCTAGTTTATGTATTTTGTTTAAATGCGTTTTTATGTCTTGGTTGGTTGTAGTTACTGTGAGGAGATCCAGGTGGAAGACAATGAAGTAAATGACAGCTCCTCCAAAAGCAGCATGGATGTCAAACCCGAGGCCAGTCCTCAGCTCCCCAAGAAGTCGGTCACCAACAGCAGCACCTTGACACCAACAGGAAGTAATGAAGTTCCAATCCCGGTTAGTATTCCTGCCTTCCCCGCTTTGAGTCTCCTTTGGGAGAGATAAAGCAGAGTATTATTATTATTAATAATAATAATAATAATAATGTTATTATTTAATTCAATTGGTATGGAGGTAGCAATTATTTAGGTGGGTAGAAAGCTATCCTGTCATGAATTACTTTTCAATGACTTTAAAGCATAGGTTCTTTTTATTGCAATTTGCAGTGTGAGAGGGTATATCAGATTACAGAAAAATATTTAGAAATCCATACATACAGATTCTATGAAACTACACTGGATTTACAATTACATGACTAACAAACAAACAAAGGGGAATTACATTTTCACTCAACATTCACACACATGTACATGCACCCAAATATTCTCCCTCCTTGGAGAAGCACCTGTTAGGCCAGACCATGCTTTCCTGCAGCCTACCAACACACAGTTCCATAATGCCAAAAACTTCAAAATGCCGAAATGCCAAAACTTCTTTCCCTAAGAACAATGTCAAGGATCATATCTCTGTTTTCCATACAGCAGAACCTGACTCCCTGCACAAAATCTAAGACTCCAAAACACACTTCTTCCTCTTCCCTTGAGAAAGAAGTCCAAAGTGACCAGACTGCACTCTCTCCTTCCCATGGAGCAGAGCATAGCGGGTGAACAGCATCTCCGTCTGCCACACTTTGACCATTATTAGACTGAGTCTTTTATAGAAATATTCTGTTCATGTCGTCCCAAAGTTGTAATGAATGATAGACTTCCATCCTGGCTCCATCTCAGTTTCCTGGCCAGATGTTGATCTTCTTGATTGGTGTTTATCTTATGTTGACTTCCTTCTTAACATTGTAAACATTTCTGTTATCACTGTCCCAATTCTTATCAGAGTTTACTTTTCAGCTCTTATTAGCAACCTTTAATTACAGTCCAGCAAACAGGTAGTTAATCATTGCAGGCCTTCCTATTATACTAGTGTCTCCAAAATTATTAACTCCATTCATACATCCTCCCATTCTTCCATTCATTCCCACACATCATTATATCAAATCCACATTTCTCAAATCTGCATATTAATTTTTTGTGACAATCCTTGCTGGAGAACCTAGAAAATTCCTAGAGAAGTATGTTCTCTAGCAATTTGCAAGATCTTCCAGTGTGACTCTAACTTCTGGCAGAAGCATATCCTCTAATTGCCTGGAGGATCCAGTAGATTCCTAAAGGATTTGTGTTTTGTCAGATGTGGGTAGGAGAAACAGCAGATTCCAATTCTGTGGGTTTGTATTGCATTCAGATTCAGTCACAATAGTGGTGATGTTCTCTTTCATCCACTTTCAGTATGAAGGAATAGTTCCAGAGGAAGAGGAAATCATGGACCTCCCTACAGAGAAGGACCTGACCATTGCAAACCTCATTGCAGACAAGATTGAGATCATTGCTCCTGTGAATTCCCCATCCCTGGATTTCAATGACAATGAGGACATTCCAACGGAGCTCAGTGACTCCTCAGAAACGCATGATGAAGGTGCATGGCTGGAGTCCACAGGTGTTGTGGTGGAGCTGACTGTTGCTGTCGTAGTGTCTTTCCCATCTCTGATACCACAGTAATTGTGTTTAGAGAAGTCAAAACTAGCACACTTAAAATTCATGGGCTCTCTATAATTTGATGTTCAATAACAACTAGAACACCATATTTCTCTTAGACTTCATTCTTCTCTATTTGGGATACCCAGACTTTCATGTATGACTAATTTCTAGCCCAATAAGTTTGGCAATTGTGCAACTATAGGTGTGTGGTTGCAGTTCTTGTGGCCCATTCAGCAAATACATTTCTTAATCAAATTTCAGCAAGAAATAAAAGATAATTCCACTGCCATACGAACATTAGTGAAGAACTTCACATGAGCTTCTTGCTGAGGAAGCTAATCAAATAGCAATAGTGGAGTTAAAGTAGTCCAAATATACAAAGTCATCTTGTGTCCTCCCAATAAAGTTTGTATTTTAATTTTGCAGTCACATAGATGTAGAAAACTGACATTGGATTTGATGAACTAAATAATTCTTCAAGGATAAAGCCCACACACTGGAATTTGATTTGTGGAGTTTGATTATTGTAGATTTGACTAAAATGTTGTCTCTAGGAATCTCTAGGTCATCTAAGGTACCTCTGTGGTCAACTTCCACTGGACATCGGCTATAGAGTCACTCTGGATGATCTAGAGTAGTGGTTCTCAACCTGTGGTCCGTGGACCACCAGTGGTCCGCAAGAATGAAAATATTGTCCACAGCCTCACCATTACTACACTGTTACCTCAAAACCACACAGCAAAGGGAGCAACTGGTCTCGCAAAACCCTTAAAGTGCCGAGGCAACGGGGATGTTGGAAGGGGAGAGGCTGACTATCCATGAAAGATTACTACTAGGAATGGGCAATCCATGGTTTTAAATGGTTCTAAAGTACTTACAAAACTAAAGTTCTGGTGGTGAAAACTAGGGGGCGCTGTTGCTTTGCTTCCACAGTGTTGCTGAAGTTCTGGTGGTGAAAATTTCAGAACTCGAACAAAACTTTCAAAATTTCATTATTATTTTGTTATTGGTAATTTTTATGACAGAACCAATTAGGAACTGCCATTTATAATGAAATTCTGAAAGTTTTGTTAGAGTTCTGAAATTTTCACCACAAATTGCCCATGCCTAATTACTACTATCTCATCAGCTCTAGATAATTAAATATGGTTTTCTGTGGGTGAACAGATGGCATATGTTCTGTATCAGAAACTAGAGCTGAGGAGGTCTATCCAATGCAGTGTTCTGAATCAGCACCCCAAATAACCAAACAGAATCTAAAGTTGACCAAAAACTGATTTGTAACCCTTTCTGTACTAATGTTGGAGAGTGGTCCCTGGTCAAGTAGTCCCTGGCTAAAAAAAAGTTTGGGAACCACTGATCTAGAGATTCCTAGAGTGAATGCTTCTCCGGGAATTTCTAAGCCCGCCAGTGTAATTCTGAGGCCTACTTCTGGAAGATGTAGGCAATAGCATTGCCTTAGAGGATCTAGAGATATTTAGAGAGGTGTTCTGTTTGAAATAGCCTTTAACAAAGCACTTTATAGTCGTAGGGGGGGATTTAAAACTGATTTTAACTTTATTGTTTATATTTATTTATTAATTTATGATATTTATATGCCGTCCTTCTCAGCCCGAAGGGGACTCAGAGCGGCTTACAATATATATGCATACAATATATTATATTATTAGCATAGTACAATATCAGTATTATATATTACTATATCGTACTACACCATTATAATGTAATATTAGTAATATTACATGTAATATAAAATATATAATTATATTATTAGTAGTAGTATTATATTGTATTACATTATAATATTACACATATTTATAGTATGAATAATGCTATGGAGCATTCTTGGAACTTTTATCATTTGGTTTTAGCTTTGGTTTTATGTTACAATATATATTTTAAGATGATGTGAGCCACCTTGAGTCCACCTGGAGAAAGGCGGCGTAGAAATCTCCTAAATGAATAAATAAATTATCTCAGGTTAAAAAAGACATCTGTTTGGTTTTTTTGGTTTTTTAAAAAATCCAAGTTTATTCCCCCAATTTTTTACTGTGTGGTAAGCCTTTCCCTGAGTTCAAAGTTTTATGCTAAGGTCTGCCAGAGAAAGATGGCAATGTCACCTCTTTACTCTTTACTCTTTCCTTCAGGAGAAGTGCAAGCTTTTTATGAGGACCTAAATGGACGACAGTACATGAATGAGGTCTTCAACTTTAGTGTGGATAAGCTGTATGACTTGCTCTTCACTGACTCACAGTTTCTGAGGGACTTCATGGAGCAACGGCGATTCTCTGGTAATTACTTTGGCCTCATCATGAGAAGAAAGGAAAGCTTAGAGAAGACAATGATGCTGGGGAAAATGGAAGGAAAAAGGAAGAGGGGCCGACCAAGGGCAAGATGGATGGATAGTATCCTTGAAGTGACTGGATTGACCTTGAAGGAGCTGGGGGTGGTGATGGCCAACAGGGAGCTCTGGCACGGGCTCGTCCTTGAGGTCACAAAGAGTTGGAAGCGACTGAATGAATGAACAACAACAAAGATTAGTACACAGCAAACAAGATCACCATGCAAGCTTTTGTATTTGTTTATATACAATTAAATAGTAATAGTATGGTTAAAAACAGAATTAAAATACAATAAATACACTAAAATAGCCTTTAAAAATCATATCCCCTCATCCCATACAACCTCTCCAAAGCTGGCCCCTTACCCTTCCCCAAATGACTATTTGGCAGAAGAAGGTCTTGAAGGTTACCAATTCCTAGACTCACTTGTAGTCTAATGAATAGTCAACCAGGGACAAAATACTGGAAGATGTTGAGTGGGGAGGGTAGTGTGGGCAGGTAAAGACTCTTAAGATATCCTCTTAAGATATCCTTGGGAATCTGAATACATTTTGTACCTCGGCATCTTGTTAGAGGCATGCTAGGGTAGGATGGACTCAACGTCAGATCCCTCTTTCTTTATGAAGGCACAAACAGAGTACTATTCTTCAGTCTTAAAATGAGAAGGTCAATGGTTCTCTTGAAAGACACAAAAGCTGCATGAGTAAAGTAAGACCGAACGTCACAGCATGGGATTCGCACAAAACAAAGTGTTCTGTGTTGCCACTGCCAGCGAGGTTGGAGGTGGGGGCAGTCAATGCCCATGCTCTTGACTTTGGTCATGGGAATAACTTTTTTGTTCCTTTGGGAATGGGATTGCACTCCGTCATTGATACATCATTCCAACCAACTGACCATTTCTCCTCCTCCTCTCTCTCTTCTTCTATGCAGATGTTGTCTTTCATCCATGGAAGAAGGAAGAAACTGGCAACCAGAGTAGGGTTATCCTCTACACCATCACCCTCACCAACCCCCTGGCCCCTAAAACTGCCACTGTCACGGAAACACAGGTAAGTGTCCTTTCTTTTGCATCTAAGATCTGAATGTGACAATTTCATCCAGGACTAAGGACGTCAAGGTGGCTTCATCCTGGTGTCCTTTCTCAGCAGACATTAGACTTCTGCCTGTTTATACCTCTTCTTTCTGCTTCCTCCAGACGATGTACAAAGCAAGCCAAGAGAGTGAGTGCTATGTGATAGATGCAGAGGTGCTAACTCATGATGTTCCCTACCATGATTATTTCTACACGATTAATCGTTATACATTGACACGTGTTGCCAGAAACAAATGCCGTCTCAGGTGGGTATTCCTGGCTTGTAGTTGGTCTGTCCTTCTGTCTGCCTACCTACCTATCTATCTATCTATCTATCTACCAATTGTATTCATTTATATCCTTCCTTTTTCAAGATGTCTAAGAACAAATTTAATACTGAAAAGGAAAATGGGTTCCTTTGGAAATAGAAAAAACAGTATCCACTAATTGCAGTGATGCAAATGTATCAAAACCTATAGAAATTCAATGTAAACATACAAATACAAATGTCAGTAAAACATAATAATAATAATAATAACAACAACAATAACAACAAACACCATCAACAACACTTTATTTATATTTCGCCCTTCTCACCCTGAAGGGGACTCAGGGTGGATCACTGTACACATACACGGCAAACATTCAATGCCACTTTGTATAGACAGTACACAGACAGACAGAACAGAAAGGAGGTGTGTTGTTTCGATGCCATGGACGGTTGGTCTCGGGTCCAGCCACAGGGGGTGCTGTTGCTCCATCCTCTGTGATGAAGAGCCAGGACTTCCTCCTTCCTTTTGGTTGCCCAGCATTTTCTGATCTTTCTTTATGGCATTGTAAAACACCTTCCCCACTTTTTTAGTGGTACCTAATTTCTCTATATACAGCTAAAGCTGTTTTCAAACTTCTTAGGTAAACAGTGAGCAGGGCTGACAGTTGGCCACTCACGACAACCTGGGCTTCAATCTTGCAACCTTTCAATTGGTAGATCTTATCATTGTTGGTGATTTACCAGCTGCGCTAAAACTCTAGCCCATTACATTCACATTTAACAGAAATAATTTGTTCTTTTCTCGAAAAATGAAAAAGATTCCTCTTCATGTGTGTGGAAATCATTCTTTGTGTCTTTACTACAGATGAGTAGACTCCATATCCTTGCACAGTAAATATCCTATTTTCTTTACTACACAAGAGTAGACTCCAACATTCTCAACCGGATTCAACTCTCAGAGTCTTCATCAGTAGTTGGGTCTATAATTAATACATGTTATTAATACACACATACAGTTTGCCAAATGGAAACACTGAGCTTATACACACACAGAGAGAGAGACATATATACACACGCACATACACAACTTACTTATCAAAAAAGCTCCATATTTGAGGAACATGCTCTATTAACAGTTCTCTTGAAACGAACAGATTTTAAACAGTCCAAATTAAAAACAATGCAGAATGATTAAATATATTAAAATCTATTTAAAGCCTACAGTTATTATCTCTGAAGATCCTGTACTGAACAGGGGGTTGGATTAGATGACTTCCAGCTTCCCTTCCAATCCTATGATCCTTTCTCTCTCTCCAGGGTTTCCACAGAGCTGCGATACAGAAAACAGCCATGGGGGCTGGTGAAATCCTTCATTGAAAAGAACTTCTGGAGTGGCCTAGATGATTATTTTCGACATCTAGGTGAGAACTTGCAAAAATTAACCTGATGCCCTTTTGTTTTCATATGATGGAAGTGGACATATGATCGTTCTCTTCAAAAACTGACCATTGTAGTTTGTTGAGAAAGGATTCCTGCCAGATCTTGCTAATCCTAACTCAATAGCTGATGGTTCTGGATAGGTTTTGAGAACAGGCACTGCTAGGTTGATGCCATTAAATGTCCCTTGATATGAAATCCATGTCTTGCTTTGGTAATAAACATGCCCCCCACCTTTGATTTTCCTTCCAGAGAGTGAACTGACCAAAACTGAGAGCACATACCTAGCTGAGCTTCACAGACAATCCCCCAAAGAGAAGGTGGTCAAGCAATCTACGGTTCGCCGGAGGAAACGACCTCATACTCACCTGAGGGGTCCTCACCTGGAGGAAGTACTGAGCCCTGTAACTACTCCTACAGATGAGGAGGCCGTAAGTCGAATCAAGCGTGTGGCAGGTAAGGAGCTTGGTCCGCAAAGGGTGAACATTATCACTGAGCTCCTGGGAAGAAATGTTGGCTTCTTCTAACACTGCTTGGTTAAAACTGAGTACATATCACTTAAGCACATCTACATTTCATGGAGAAACAGGCCTCTTGGTGGGTAGAGTATCTCTCATCCAGAAACGCAAATGCTCCAAAGTCCAAATTTGCTAAGTTAGTGATACCTGTGTTTCCTGGTGGTTTAGTGTACACAAACTTGATGCACAAAATTATTTACATTACTGTGATCAAAATTACTTTGAGTGCATATATGTAAATTTTGTGTTCAGACTTTGGTCCCATTACCACGATATATAAAGCTCCCAGTGGCGCAATGGGTTAAACCCTTATGTCGGCAGGACTGAAGACCGACAGGTCAAAGGTTCAAATCTGGGGAGAGCACAGATGAGCTCCCTCTGTCAGCTCCAGCTCTGTCAGCTCCAGACGGCCAATTCTCTCACACCAGAAGTGGCTTGCGGATTCTTAAGTCGCTCCTGTCACAAAAAAAAAAACCAAACATATGCAAATATTCTGAAAACAAAACACATCTGATCAAAGTATTTCAGCTGCAAGAGCTTCATCTTGTATAAAGGTGCAGTTTATCTGACCCAGGATATAGATTAGTTTTAGTTTTCTTCCCAAATGATTGCTTTGCAAGCCTTGTCTTACCTGCTTTGCTCACTAGTCTTAAAACACTGCAAGCTTAAAAATTCCCTGCTGGACCTGAAATGTTGAATAGGATTGAAAAACAAGGCCACATCTCCTAAGAGGGAATTCCGATGCAAAAGAAATGTTGGGTGGGGAAGATATGGTGTTTGTGGGAGTACATTTCTAGCCTCCCTGAAGGCAAATGCACCCCCTACTCCTGCTTAAGGGAGAACTAGGTTTGAGTATCCACAAGAGAAAGTATTCTGTCTCTCCGGAGTCTATAGCAAATGCTATCTTCCAGGTTCCACTCAAACACGGCACATCCCCGAGGAAAGTCCTGGCAGTTTCCACCTTCAGAATGTCTCCAAATTGCTGCTCGTTATCAGTTGTGTGTAAGTGATTTTTTTTGTCCTCTTCCCTCCTTTCTTTTTCTTCCTCTTCCTCTTCCTCTTCCTCTTCTTCTTCCTCCTCCTCCTCTTCCTCCTCCTCCTCCTTTCCTTCTCCTTTTCCTTCTCCTTCTCCTTCTCCTTCTCCTTCTCCTTCTCCTTCTCCTTCTCCTTCTCCTTCCCCTTCCCCTTCCCCTTCCCCTTCCCCTTCCCCTTCCCCTTCCCCTTCCCCTTCCCCTTCCCCTTCCCCTTCTTCTCTTCTTCTCCCCTTTTTCACCCTACTCTGTTCTGTTTTATTCCACAATTTATTTTTCCTCCTCAAACTCTAAAGAAGTTTGCAAGGACGCTTAGTGCCATGACATTTTGGTGTACCTTCAGTTGAGTTGGCTTGGATTATTTATGTGAGTCAAGCATCTCCTCCCCATTTCTCCAAAGACCACATCCCCATCATTATTACGTTTGGAAGCCATAGCCAGGTTTTGTGGCATTTGTGTCAATTTCCTTCAGGTGTGGTCTACATTATTTGGCATGGTAGCTCGCATTCCTCGAAAACTTGGCTAGAGTCGATGTTATGCAGAGAGCGGCTGTTGTTAAATGGGAGGAGATGATGGGGGAACGGAAAGGAAGCAAAACATTGCATCCCTGCTGTGGAGAGGATTGCGAAATGAGCTCCTGGCCTCTAGCAATTCAGAGAAAGAGCCAGCAATTTTTGGAAAGTGGAATTGTGCTCTAGAGATTTCCTATTTTTGCAGAGGTTTGTCAGTCATGCAGAAATGTGTTCCCTTCTTTACAGAAGTAAATGTAGAATATTTTCCATTGTTAAGTAGATCCAGCCCATCCATATTTTTCACTAAGATTGTGTTGTTCTTGTTGAACTGTTTTACAGTTTACTTTATCAAATAAGATTTCCTATTAGGTTAGGATTGGAAATATTTTTAGCTTGGTCTGGTCCAAAAATGATGAAGAATTGGTTGTACCAGCTTGACTAAATGACAAACCCAAGACCCTCAAATGCAATCTGATAGTTCTTTTAAAAATATCCGATTCACTTTCCAGCATGTATTTGTTTGGAAGGAAAACAAACCGTTATGCTTCTTGTTATGCAGAAATAACTTGAGCCAAACAGTGTTGTGTAGTGTCTTGACAGTTTTGATGGACATGTTTGAATGTAGCTTACTGTCAAACACATCAATAGTGAATTGGGTAGTGAATCAAGTCTGATTTGCTGTCATGTTGTAAAGACATCCCGCTATGTTTGTGTCTCTCGCTGGTTTTCTGCAAGTTGCTGGAGATATAGTGACACCTGCTGGTGCAGATACTAAGACAATTGTCATCAAAGGGTGTCCTTTATTGGGTTGTTGTAGGTTTTTTCGGGCTATATGGCCATGTTCTAGAGGCATTTTCTCCTGACGTTTCGCCTGCATCTATGGCAAGCATCCTCAGAGGTAGTGAGGTCTGTTGGAACTAGGAAAAAGGGTTTATATATCTGTGGAATGACCAGGGTGAGACAAAGGACTCTTGTCTGTTGGGGCTAGGTGTGAATGTTTCAACTGACCGCCTTGATTAGCATTTGATTGCCTGGCAGTGCCTGGAGCAATCTTTTGTTGAGAGGTGATTAGATGTCCTTGTTTGTTTCCTCTCTGTTGTTGTGCTGTTCTAATTTTAGAGTTTTTTTGTCCTTTATGTTCACAAGTCTTCTGAAGAAGTGAGCACAGATTCTGCAAATGAAATACAGTAAAATCTCCATATCTGCTGAACCAGTACCTACTGTTTCATTTGCCAGTATCTGACAAAATGTGTCCTCTCCAGGCATTTTCTAGATCATCCAGGTCTTACCAGAGATTGACTATAGAATTGCACTAGAGCATTGGATCTCAACTTGTGGGTCCCCAGGTGTTTTGGCCTACAACTCCCAAAAATCCCATCCAGTTTACCAGCTGTTAGGATTTCTGGGAGTTGAAGGCCAAAAACATTTGAGGACCCACAGGTTGAGAACCACTGCACTAGAGGATGTAGCAATACCTAGGGAGGTGTCCTCTCGTTGCATTTTACAGGTCCTCCAGTCCAGCTCTGTCATATACTTCTGCCAGAAATTGTTCATTCATGGAGCACATTCTCCTCAGATATGGAGTTCATACTGTAAATTGTAATGATTGTTGTGACTCAGCTGGAACCACAGAGTGCCTCTAATGGGGATGGGGATTCAGGTTCACAGTCTGGTTCAAAATGTCCCTGTTATAGTCAATGAGGAACAGGGTGTGCAAGTTCAGTTTCCCACAGCAAGAAATGAGTTTGTTGATACTGAAACTAGCCAGGTGCAGGCGCAAATTGACTCAGAAAAGGAGGATAGTTCTCAGCCTGATAATGAGCAGGAAGGCAAACTGGATAACACTAACGAACAGACTGACCTGGACGAAACGGAAACCTTAGATCATGCTGACCGTTTGGAATTCAGAGTCTGAAGGAGTGTGAGAATAGCTAACAAGAAGGAGGTCAGAGGCCAAAGAAACGCCTTCATGTTTTGCAAAGGGTATTAAGCAGTGTGTTTGGGACCAAATCTTTGTCAGAGCAACTTTTCGTTTAACCAAGAAGCTTGCATTTTGCTTGTCTGGATTATCTTGCAGTTCTTGTGTTCATGGTCTCAGGACTCAGTCATGTTTTCATCGGATTTTGCTTTGCTGGTGCCATTTTGGATCATGCTTCAAAGTGTTATTTTGTATTGATCTTTTAGAACATTACTTTTGCTTTTAAGAACTTTTTATCTTTTACTTTTTATTAAACTATAAAGACTTCTGGCTGTGTGCAGTTTGGTGTTTTCAGCAAAGTGAACCTATTCTGAGGTGCAACAGCGATGAGGTTTAGATGGCTTTTTTGTGGAGACGAACTGGACAAGAGAATATGGAAATTATGCTATTATTAAAGGGCAGAGTGCTGAGAATGCAACAACATTGGGTCAGGAAGAATGCTAAGTGACTGTATTTCAGATTTGTGCATTGTGATAAGGCCTTTAGTGCCCCTTCTTTTTTGGTTGGTGTTCCAAAGAAACTTCAGCGTTTATGTTCTTCTCCTTGACTCCATCAGGAATGTGCTTCCCTTTTGAAATCTTTCTCAGGATTTAAATTAACCATGTCTCATGGTATTTTTCACATTCAAGGGCTCCAACACATCCTCTCCCAACCATGCTGACACATCACAGATGTTAGGTCTTTTCCTCTGTCTCTTTCTCCCCCACAACCTTCTGCAACCCTTCTCCTCAATCTGTGTAACCTGTGTCCTTTAGAAGAACTTCCCCCCACGATTTCCTCCTCTCTCAACTTTGGTGTGCTTCTAACCTTCGCCTCCTCCATCTTTTCTCTCCCCTGCTCCCATTAGGATTTGTTTCAGGTACTGTCTCCTTTTTACCTCGCTTTTCTCTCACTTGCCTCTCGCATATGTCCTTCCACATCCCAGCTGGTGAATTTCGTTGTTTATACACTGCCTCATCTCTGCTTGGATTCTCTTGGGCTACGTCCTCATCTTGTTTCTTTTGCAAAGTTCAAATTTGTCTGTCTTCTTCTTTGGCTGCTCCTTAAGGCTGGACTCTTATGACCCTGTTGTTCACTGAGCTCAAATGAGCACACATCTAGCTGTGCTTCCCATTACCATGACTGTCATGTGTATTTTTCTGTGCTTCTCTCTGGGCTCATCCAGACAGTACCTCTGTCCCAGGAGCTTCTGTAGCAAACAGGAGGGTGGCCAGACTCCGTTCCTTATAAACACTTGCTACAAATGGCAAAAAACTCAGGATTTTCAGGTGCAGGAATATCCCGGTTCTGAGCCAAAAATCTGCATCTTCAATTGTCTGTATGTCTCTGCACTTGGAAATCATGGGGAATTTTATCTAGGCTTGTTTCCGGGTTTTTGATGTTTGTTCCTGATTGCTCAGTTTCTAAAAAGAAGGTGACACAGCTGGCTGAGTGTCAGCTGCATTAAGATCACTCTGACCAAAAGGTCATGAGTTCGAAGCCAGCCCGGGTTGGAGTGGGTTTCCAACCAATTGTGTGTAGCCTGTTGTTGACCTTTGCAACCCAAAAGACAGTTGCATCTGTCAAGTAGGAAAATAAGGTACCACCTTAAAATGTGGGGAGGCTAAATTAACTGATTTATGAGGTCATAAAGAAGACTCCAGCAAAGCATTCCAGCGGGGAAGCATGCGGGAATGCGGAAGTGCTTCATCAGCGTCGCAGATGGATGATGAAAGCGACAGCTCCCCGGTGGCCAGAAAAAGTTAAATAGCCTCTGTGTATGTCTGTATATGTTTGTATGTCAAAAATTGGCATTGAATGTTTGCCATATATGTGTACACTGTAATCCGCCGTGAGTCCCCTGCGGGGTGAGAAGGGCGGAATATAAAAGCTGCAAATAAATAATTAATAAATAAATGACAGTTGAGTAGAAGGCAAAAATTTTGTTTGTGTGCTGGAACCGTCATGAAACATGTGGAGGACACATTTTCTCTGGCCAGGACAGAGTTGCGGCACCCTAGTCAACGTTGTACATCTTTTCACAATAAGAGCAATCAGGGACAGACATGTATAACCCAGGAACAACACCCTGTCTGCATAGATGGCCCTGCCCAGTAATGCAACTTATACAATTATTCGCATCTTCACATGTTTGCTACTTAAGTTTTTTTTTTAAATCGCCAAAATTTCTGGTGGAAGTCAAATGGTGACCATCTTGGGAGCCTCTAAATTCTGTAATGAAGCAGTAGTTGTGGATGACACAGGCAGAAATCTTGGGACCAACAGGTCTGTCTGTGGACCTCTTCTAAAGTCCTAAGATTTTTTTCCTGATTAAAACCCACAATTTGGGGGTGTCTGGAAGTGCCCTCTGAGTTTTGTTAAGTGCTTAAAATTGTTCCACTGATGCCAAAAGACTGTATAGTTTGGGAGGAAAAGACTACAAGCGGAGGTTATTTTTTCTGAACTTTGTGCTCTTCCTTTGAGAAGTTGCAAAACAGACAGACAAGAGGGATAGATCATATAATTTCATAGGACGAGCTTATTATGGACCTGTCCCAATTAGTATCTGGTCCCACTCATAGTGCTGGGCACACACTAGACCTGGTTTTCTGTCAGGGATGGGATGATGGTGGTGGGCTGGAGGAGCTGACCATCGCTCCTTTGCCATGGACCGACCACTAGCTGATCAGGTTTAGACTTACTGCATCTCTTAACCTCCTCAGGGGTGGTGGACCTACTAAAATTGTCCACCCCAGGAGACTTATGGATCCGAATGGATTCCTGACGGCTCTTGGGGATTTTCCCACCTCCTTGGCAGGTGAATCTGTCGATACCTTGGTCTCCTGCTGGGATAGTGAGATAAATTATCCCAGGCTTCTGTGTTCTCCTGCATTTTTTTACTCCAAATGGCAAATGACATTCCCATTAGATGTTTTGCCATTTGGGGCCAAAAAATAAAAATCTGTGTGTATTAATTAGGATAGGTGTCAGAAGGTAATTGAACAGACAGGTGTGGCCCTTTAAACCCTTTAAGGCTTTTTGGGAATATATGCTGACCCTGGTCTTGCAAGGATTCAAGGTCAGGTGAGTTTTCCCCCCCAGTTGCTGACCCTCTAGGGCAGGGGTCCTCAAACTTTTTAAACAGAGGGCCAGGTTACAGTCCCTCAAACTGTTGGAGGGCCGGATTATAATTTGAAAAAAACATGAATGAATTCCTATGCACACGGCACATATCTCATTTGTAGTGCAAAAACAGACTTAAAAGCAATACAATAATTAAAATGAAGAACAATTTTAACAAATATAAACTTATTAGTATTTTAATGGGAAGTGTGGGCCTGCTTTTGGCTGATGAGATAGCAGTGTTGTTGTTGTGTGCTTGCAAGTCGTTTCAGACTTAGGTTGACCCTGAGCGAGGGCCAGGTAAATGACCTTGGAGGGCTGTATCCGGTCCCCGGGCCTTAGTTTGAGGACCCCTGCTGTAGGGCTTGCATGCATATTGTATGATGAAGACAGCAATGCCAAACTCATGGTGCCCTTCAGAGTGGATCTGTTTCCTTGTTATTCTTCTACAGGCTCAGATAAGTTTATAATCAATGTTGCAACTCAGATGTGGAAATTTTCAAACGCTTCTTTCTGTGTCCAGGTGTCACGTTAACATTGAAATCAGGTCATGTTGGAATATGAACTTGGGTATCCCAGTTGTGCCATCCATAATATGCGGGAAGCATGAAATCGTGTTCTTTTCAGCGCATAAAAGTAACAGTGGAAGCTTGTTCGAGGCTTCTCTGTGTCTGGCAACAAGGATCCAGCTTTTAATTATGATTCTTCTCTTCTATATCTCCCTATCTTCACAGTCTGGTGCTTTTGGTCATCCTTAACATGATGCTGTTCTATAAACTCTGGATGTTGGAGTACACCACCCAAACCCTCACAGCATGGCAGGGCCTGCGGTTACAAGAAAGGTAACACATTCCATAAGGAAGATGTCAGTCAACCCCGTTTGTAGTCTACCTGCTGGTGCCACACAAGGGGTCATCTGTCTGTTTGGCTTGCATTGTTCTGCTACTGCCTATTCCTTCTGCTACTTGAGGTGGAAAACTTAATGCTCTTCAATCAATTTGCTCTTCAATCAATTTGATGCTTGCATCACCCCAATGCTACACAGCAAACATCATGGCAAATGGGGTTTTGAGCCTGGGTCATCCTGGTTCTAGTCAGCACTCTAACCACTGCCGTCCACAGCAGCTCCCAGGCTTTGTTGTGCCTGAACGATCCCTTTTTATCACATTCCTGCAAGGTTTTGTGGAGCAAAGATGTAATGCTTAACACAACTTGATTCCTTTCCTCCTATATTTCATACCACAGAGTAAGTGCCATGACAATCTATCCCCCTCTTTGCATCTATATAAATAAAAATGTAATGTTTGTTTGTGGGATTAACAGAACTCAAAAACCGCTGGACGAATTGACACCTAATTTGGACACAAGACATCTAACAACCCAATGTATGTTCTTCACTCAAAAAAATGGATTTTGTCATTTGGGAGTTGTAGTTGCTGGGATTTATAGTTCACCTACAATCAAAGAACATTATGAACCCCACCAACGATGGAATTCAACCAAACTTCCCATGACCAACAGAAAATACTGGAAGGGTTTAGTGAGCAGTGTCCTTTGGTTTTGGAGTTGTAGTTCACCTACATTCAAAGATCACTGTGGAATCAAACAATGATGGATCTGGACCAAACTCTACACGAATACTCAATATGCCCAAATGTGAACACTGGTGGAGTTTGGGGAAAATAGAATCTTGACATTTGGGAGTTGTAGTTGCTGGGATTTATAGTTCACCTACAATCACAGAGCATTCTGAACACCACCAGTGATAGAATTGGGCCAAACCCCCATGTGGGCTACAGAACCCCCATGTGGGCCACAGCAACGCGTGGCAGGGGAGGGCTAGTGTAAAATAAATGTAAAGGTAAAGGTTTCCCCTAACATTAAGCCTAGTCAAATCCAACTCTGGGAGGGCGTGTGATGCTCATCTCCATTTCAGAATAGTTTTTATTGTACTTCCACAACTCATCTTTGCTTCTTTTCTTGACAGGTTACCCCAATCCCAGACAGAATGGGCCCAGTTATTAGAATCCCAACAGAAATATCATGACACAGAGCTCCAAAAGTGGCGGGAGATCATCAAATCATCGGTGATCCTCCTAGATCAGGTGAGAACTGCATCCTACGTCATAAAGATGGGACTCCATTTTGGTCACCTCTTTGTCCCATGAAGTCAAGTGAAATTATATCGAAGCTATTTTATGTTAATATACTTTAAGCTCTTGGTTCTCACAGGTTTCAGAGACACAGGATTGTTGTGAAAGGAAGTGGGAGTGGGGGGGGGGGAGGGGAGGAATAAAAATCCTATTCTTTTATCCGAGAGAATATTCCTCTAGGTTCTCTATTGTGGTGCAACTTCCTCCAGATATCAATAATAGAATTGCACTGGACAAAAGTCTAGAGATGTGTATTGTCGAAGGCTTTCATGGCCGGAGTCACTGGGTTGTTGTAGGTTTTTCGAGCTGTATGGCCATGTTCTAGAAGTATTCTTTCCTGACGTTTCGCCTGCATCCATGGCAGGCATCCTCAGAGGTTGTGACTTGAGCTCTCGATCCCGCAGCTCTCGATCTGCCTGCTTCACAAGCACACCTGGCGGGGATGAGAGACACAGCCTTCTCTGTGGTGACCTCTCAGCTTTGGAACTCCCTGCCCAGGGATATCAGATCGGCCCCCTCCCTCCTAACTTTTTTAAAAAAAACCTGAAGACTTGGCTCTTTGAGCAAGCTTTTGGAGCCTAAGCATAATCAGACAAACTTGAATCGGAAAATGACCTAGGAACGGCTAAGACGATGGAACGGATGAGAACTAAACATGATGACATAGTTTTAAAATTTTTATTGTTTACTGTTTTGATGTTTTTAGATACATTGTAATGTGATGTTTTTGATTTTTATTGATGTATGTATTTTATATATGGCATCGAATTGTGCCAACTGTTCGCCGCCCTGAGTCGCCTTCGGGCTAATATAGGCGGGATAGAAATAGCGTAAATAAATAAATAAATAATACTTCTGGAACATGGCCATACTGCCCGAAAAACCTACAAAAACCCAGTTTAGAGATGTGTTTCTCTAGGAATCTCTAGCTCCTCCAATGCCACTCTGAGGTTATCTATAGAACTGCAGAAATGTCTGCTTCCTCACGTGAAGAATTTTTAGATGACTTGGATGAAGGGTTTGAAGGCATGATCATCAAGTTTGCAGACAACACCAAATTGGGAGGGATAGCCAATACTCCAGAGGACAGGAGCAGGATTCAAAACGATCTTGACAGATTAGAGAGATGGGCCAAAACTAACAAAATGAAGTTCAACAGGGACAAATGCAAGATACTCCGCTTTGGCAGAAAAAACGAAATGCAAATATATAGAATGGGGGACAATGCCTGGCTCGAGAGCAGTATGTGTGAAAAAGATCTTGGAGTCCTCGTGGACAGCAAGTTAAACATGAGCCAATAATGTGATGTGGCGGCAAAAAAAGCCAATGGGATTTTGGCCTGCATCAATGGGAGCATAGTGTCTAGATCCAGGGAAGTAATGCTACTCCTCTATTCCGCTTTGGTTACACCACACCTGGAATATTGTGTCCAATTCTGGGCACCACAATTCAAGAGAAATATTGACAAGCTGGAATGTGTCCAGAGGAGGGTGACTAAAATGATCAAGGGTCAGGAGAACAAGCCCTATGAGGAGCGGCTTAAGGAGCTGGGCATGTTTAGCCTGAAGAAGAGAAGGCTGAGAGGAGATATGATAGCCATGTATAAATATGTGAGAGGAAGCCACAGGGAGGAGGGAGCAAGCTTGTTTTCTGCTTCCCTGGAGACTAGGACACGGAACAATGGCTTCAAACTACAAGAAAGGAGATTCCATCTGAACATGAGGAAGAACTTCCTGACTGTGAGAGCCATTCAGCAGTGGAACTCTCTGCCCCAGAGTGTGGTGGAGGCTCCTTTTCTGGAAGCTTTTAAACAGAGGCTGGATGGCCATCTGTCAGGGGTAATTTGAATGCAATATTCCTGCTTCTTGGCAGGGGGTTGGACTGGATGGCCCATGAGGTCTCTTCCAACTCTTTGATTCTATGATTCTATAAAGAAGTTGCATTTTAATATAAGTGATTTAATTTTATTTTAAATTAAATGCATTTGATGAAATAGACTTAAGTTTTCAAAAGCTTATGCTACCAACTTCTTTCTGTCATAGAAGATACAGAAAAGTATATTTGCAGATAGGTGGAAGGACGAGGAACATTTCTGTCTGCTGCCAGTAATTATTTCCCTTCCCCCCCCCCCCCCTCTGTGTTTTTATCTTGCAGATGAAGGACTCACTAGTAAACCTTCAGAATGGTATTGGGTCTCGTGACTATCACTCGGAGCCGGATGAGAAACGGAAGCGATTCTACTAGCAGGCAGGGACACAAGTGGCCAGAGGATTGTGTGCAATATGTGTACATAGAACATATAAATATATATATATATACAGAATATAAATATATATATATATTATATACAGATTTTAAAAGAAAAAAAAAGAAGCCTATGTACTGAGAAGAATGAACAGTGCCGACCGACCTCCAACACTGGGTGAAATGGAGCGTCACTGGGGTAGGGGCAAGAGGCAAAAAGGTTGTGCTCTCCTGGCACTGAGGCATTATGGAAAAGTTCAACCTATGCCGTTATGGGCCCGCACACCTCTCCTGGTTTTTCCTCCCCCTCCCTTGCTTTACGTTTGTCTGTCCGTCTCCGTTTCTGTCTCTGTCCAGAACGTTTTCATCACCCAAAGGGAAGAAATGGGAGACAATGGGATCTCCTTCCCCAGTGTTCAGTCGAACGTAAACAAATGTTGCAATGCTGTCCATTCTGGCATTTGGGACCATTCTCGAGGATCATCTCTCGCTTTATAACATCACTTCCTCTGCAAGAATGTTGCTGGCATGCTCTTCGGAAGTGGTGCTACGTTTCTCGTAAAATAGGGTTGTTGTTATTTTCCTGCAGCGTCTTTTACAGGGTTATCCTTTTAGCGCCACTTCGCATGCTCGCTGCATGCTTCTCCCACCCTCTGAGTGTAGAAACACCATTGTGTCCTGGAATGAATTTGGTGAGTTAGGTAAGGAAAGATTGCTTGTAGAGGACTCCTTCCCTTTGGGCCTTTGGTGCTAACTCTCTTCACGTTGGAGGAGTTGCCCGAATGTATTACCCTTCTTGTTTGAGCTTGGTGGTTTCCCCTCTTCAGTGTCAGATACCTTCTGATGGTTGAACATTTGCATCTTCATCTTTATGTTTCATAGGAAACTGCTGCTTCACTGAAAGGGCTATACATACACACTGGAAGGAAAGTCCAAACTAAGGACCATCTTAATGGGGCATCCCATATTATTACCTATGAGGTTTCTCTGGCAAACAAATTGTAGACAGGGAAAAATCCACAGAACTTACCAAGTGGCTTAAAACACCTTCATCTGCTATCAGAACCTCTACCCTGGTCAACACAACCATTCTGCATGGATTTATCTGCATCTTGCACATTCGTAAAACCAAAATAAATGCATAAACAACATCAATTGCTTATTAAATATAGGAAACCTTTCTGTTTCCTAAGCAGATAGGTACATCTCCTTTGAGAACCCATGCATGCTTGACTCTTGGAAAGCAAGAAATGCATGGGAGGTGTTGAGATTGTATTGGAGATTTCTCTAATAGTAACCTTTGGTGGCCAATTGAGACTTTTTAATATATTTTGATAACTTAAAACAAACTCAGCAATTGTGAATTCCAAAAAAACCTGAGTTCAAATTTTTTTTGTCTATGACTGGGCAATGGGGAAAAAAAGCAGAATGCCATATAGTAAAGTTCTGGGGACTTTTCGTTCACACAATTTTAAAGACATTGAATCAACATAGTATCAAATGATCACTAGAATTATTCGACCATTCTGTATCAGTTCTAGAATTTAGTCATGTTAAGAACTTGTCGAAAGGGCAGGTAGGGTTCCTCTCTTGCAGGAAGCAAAAGATCTTTGTAGGCAGCAGGACCATCAAAGACTGCAGTTGAGCCCTTGGTTTTCCCTCACCTAACAGGAAAAGAGGGAGAAAATTAGGGAAAGGGGGTTCTAAGAGACAAGTAGAGGTGGGAAATACTCTTTCTTTGAAGCTTGATGTTGATGGTGCCTACTGCCCATCATGTTTGGTATCAGGAAGAAATAGAACCTTACTGTGGATATATATATATATAGACAGACAGACAACTGGAGTCATTGAGAAGTAAACACCAAACTTTAGAAACGTTTTTGTGGATCTCTGTATAATGAGTTTTGCATCTTTCCCCAGCATACAGTAGGTAACCTCTTCAGAGTGATGGTAAGGGCTGCATCCTTCTCCTTCGTGGGTCATGAGAGTAAGGACAGTACTGCAGGATAAATAGCTGCAATGGCCATGGAGAGAAGACCTTGAAGTCAAGGGTTAGGTCTGGGCTTATGCCACAGAATGGTTGAACTTGTGTGCTCAGACGCTTCTGCTTCTAGACTCACGAGCAGCGGATGTTTTGAATAATAAGAAATGAGTAAACCTGTCTGTATGTAATCGCAAAGTTGCTTCTTCATCCTCTCAGTAAGAGGAGTAAGGAAGGATTATCTTGGCATTTTGTTTTGTTTTCTATGTTTATTTGCTTGCTAGATGGCTGGCCTAACTGGCAAGATATGTAGCAAATCTTGGATCATCGGATGGGGTGGGAGAGCTTATGGGTACCTATTTTATACTGTGAACTTTTGAGCCACTAACACTGAGGTGAAGATAATTTGGTGATGGATACGGTGAAGAAAACACAGGGAAGATAGTTGGCAATGGATTTGGGAGACTTTGAAGTGGGCGAACTTAATTTATTTCATTTGTTTATGCAAATATATTCTCGCGTAATGCTGCTAACTCGTCGGGAGCCCATTTGCGGCTTGTATGGGCTTCACAGGAGTGTTCAGTAGACTAGTTCTGAATGAGTGGTCTCCCCGATTTAGCCATTCCTGGCAGGCCCAGAGAGCCCAATAGGCAGGCGAGACTATCATCCTTATAAGGAGGGCTCATTCAAAGGGTGTGATGATGTTCCTAGTAGGAAGGAGATTAGAGGACAGGAGAGAAGAAGTCTCCTTCAGAGCACTGATAGACTTAGCAAGAAGAACATCTAAATAGTAATTGCATTATGATTCTGGTGATTCTTCATCATTATCTATGCTGGCTAATACTGATGGCACTTACAGTCCCAACTGTGACTGGAGGGCTATACATCTTCCAAATTTCTCTTTCAGTTTTCTCCCCGAGGCTGGGTGATGTCCATATCACTTGGGATGGAATTGGGTCCAGGAATGACTGGCTGCAGGAATGTTATTCTCCATCTCTGTGTTGGAGGCAAACTTTGCCCACTATATGGTTTCATTATTCTATCTGGCTCTCATTTTGAACCAAGATGTTGTGTTTTGGGAAATGCTGTAGCCTGCATCACAACCATAGCAGATTGATAGCTATCTGGAGGGTTGCCCTCCAATCTCTATGCCTCCTCTTTTAATTTTGTCTCTCATTCTCCGGCTGTCTGCTTCGCCACTCATTGGAAGCAGAGGTCAACCTATTGTTTGTGCCATAACACACCCTCCACTCTAGATGTGCAAATCAGCCAAACCGGAATGTGAATTCTCACTTTGGTGTGTTGAACTACAAAACCATCCACCTTCCTTCCTGAAAGAGAGTGACCACTTTATTTTTAGCCGTTTGCGCGGGAATGTATCCTCCCCTTGCCCCAAGAAAGAAGAATATCTAATGCCATCCAACAGTTCTATGCATTCTTCCCAATTCCACCTCCTCTTTGCCGAGATCTAGTACAATCACATACCCCATTTCTTGGCATTTTGGGCTCTTGGCACACTACAGGGACTCCCCAATGCTTCCCCATGCTTTTCCTTTCCTTTCCATAGTCATGGTGCATTCAGACATGAATGTGGTACACTGTGGCAAGGAAACAAACTTCCCCTTCTTTGCACATGGCTTGGAATATCATCTCTCTATCTCTGACCATTTTTTAAAAAAAAATTACCTCACTTTCCTTTGGTCAGTTTTGTGGCTAAGGTTCGAAGGACTGGATTCCCAACCTGAGCTTTGCATTAATTTTTTTTTTTGAGCAGCGCATGGCATAATGTAGTGCAATGCCGCTTGGACGACTTCCCCTTGTTCAACCTCCCCTCCCAGAGCTGGAGACTTGGAGACTGACTATGAGGTCTGCTCAAGACAGGAGGAATGTGGGATTGTTTCCTGTACAACGGTGTGGGTGACTTCAAAGCCACACCCCATCCTCACTCCTCTTTCCCTCCTACCCTTAGTCTGCCCATCTGGCAACTCTTATGCGGATGGGTATCTCTCCTTAGCGACATTTGAACACCGCAAAAGAGGAGGGCGCAGGGGGAAGCTTAAAGGGAACAAGTTAGAGACTAAACTGCACCCTTTCCTCGATCCCCCATTTTTCCCCCCTTCAGCTGGAAGGGTCTGAATTGGGAAGATGTAACTCAGGCTGGGCCACGTGTCGAAGGACTCCCGGCTGTGTCTGTAGGAGTTGTCTGTGTGTCTGATTCTGTATCTATAATAAACTTTGCGCTGTGCGCAAGGTCCAATACAAATCGATTTAAAAAAAATCAAAACTACAAACTTGACTGCTAGAAACTAGGAGTTATAAAGGCTACAAAGCCAAAATCTTAATGTAAAGTAGCTAGAAAAAAATGGAATAAAAGTATGAATAAAATATAATGAACAAAAGACATTGCGTGAGTTCGTTATTTATTAATTTATTAAAGACCATTTATTTTACGGCCTCTTTCTCAGCCTCCTGTGCTTTTTTTCCCCATGCAGTGCAGACAAGATCACAAGCTGCCTTGGGAGATGAAGCCATTACACAATATTTCTTTTGCATGTCTCTATAAGGCACCTCCATGCAGTCATGCCGGCCACATGACCATTGAGGTGTCTATGGACAATGCCAGCTCTTCGGCTTAGAAATGGATATGAGTACCACTACCCCAGAGTCAGACATGACTGGACTTAATGTCAGGGGACAACCTTTACCAACCTTTGTAAGGCACCTAGTCTGAGGATGTGACTCTGACAGTCAGAAAGCAGCCCCCTGAATTGCATAAGGCTTTCTTAAGGAAGGAATACTCAGAGCTGGTTTTGCCAGTTCCTTTCTTTGAAGTATAGATTTCATTGATCTCCCAACTAAATACTAACCAGAGTGGACTCTGCTTAGCTTTCAAGATCATACAGGATCTGGTGCGTTTAAAGTATATATGCCTAAACAGAAGAGGATAAAAACATGATATGGGATCCTAGGCTGGCGAAGGCCAACTGTGGTGTGCTACATACTAAAAGTAAATGTTTCTGCTCTCCTTACACATAAAGGAAGCAAATGCCATTGTTTATTGTGAGAAGAGACTCCAATTTGTTGGTCTGAAACCTATTACTCTGTTGCACAGGACTATGCTGCTTATGTTTCTTTCTTTTTTTCGTGTCAGGAGCAGCTTGGGAAACTCCAAGTTGCTTCTGGTGTGAGAGGATTGGCCATCTGCAAGGACATTGCCCAGGGGACGCCTGGGTGGATGTTTTGATGTTTTACCATCCTTTTGGGAGGCTTCTCTCATGTCCTGACATGGGGAGCTGGAGCTGACAGAGGGAGCTCATCTGCATTCTCCCTGGATTCAAAGCTCCGACCTGTCGGTCTTCAGTCCTGCTGGCACAAGGGTTTACCCATTGTGTCACCGGGGCTCCTAGTCACCTGGTGAGAGTTGTATCAATATGCACACTGGGAAAATGCAAGGACACCCAGATGTTTTACCATCCTGTGGGAGTCTTCTCTCACATCCCTGCATGAGAAGCTGGAGCTGGCAGACGGGAGCTCACCCCACTCCCTGGATTCGAGCTGCCAACTTTTGGTCAGCAGTCCTGCCAGCATGAGGGTTTAACCCATTGAGCCAGCAGTGGTTTCCTTTATGTTTCGTTAATATGATTACTCTGTGTTATAGAAGGTGAGCATTGAGATACCAAGGTGCCAGTTCTGTTCTTGCACAAACAATTTGAATTTCATTTCCAGTCAGTAGTTCATGCTCATTCCTTCAAATAAGACTAATTCTATTGTCTTCAGCTTCTTATGGAATGGTAGAAGTGCATTTAGTTTTGCTCAGTATTCTGCTTGTGCAGTCAAGTAAGCCCTTATCGGAGAGATCTCCAGTTTTTCAGTATAGGTTGAGTATCCCTTATCCAAAATGTTTCGGATTAGAGGTGTTTTGGATTTTTATTTTTTTTGCTTTCTGGTTTTTGGAATACCCATGTTGACATTTCCATCTCTTGAAGATGGGGAACCCAAGTATAAATTCATTTCTGTTTAATGGACACCTTATACACATCACCTGGAGATAATATTATTCAATATGTTTAATACGTGTGTGCATGAAACAAAGTTTATGTACATCAGAAAGCAAAACCAACCATCCGTGTGGATGATTTTGGAATATTTTAGATTTCAGGATTCTGGAAAAGGGATGCTCAACTTGTATGATCAATATGAGATGGGGAAGAAGAAGGGGTCTTTATCAGGAGGCAAGGAAAGTGGTTCCTCTGCACAGGGAGGTGAATGAAGTTCTTGGTTTATTCATTGCCCTGCAATTAACACATGAAACAGCTTGTCATGTTCATCCAAGGCGTAATTCTGTCCAGTTGGAATAGTCTGTATTGCTTCAACATTTGGAGTACGTCAAAGAGTAGACCAGGCCTGTCTGAAAGCCTGTCATGGAGGAGGTGTTTCCTAAGAGGTCTTCTCTAAGATGAGGTAACTTTCCATGGGAGAACTTGGTCACTGTTTTGATCCTGCTAAACAGTAAGGAGATATTTTTTTCAGATGCAGATGTCTGGTCCAGCCATTCCCTGTCACTGCCTCCTGCATCTTGCTGGCATTATTCAAAAAGCTTGCTCTAAAAGAATCCAACTAAACCTATTGACTTGTCTCATCCACACTTTGGTGTACCACAAATGTTACAGTATGGCATCCACAAATAAAGCAAACAGAAGATGCTTTCTGATGTCACTCTTACCTCAGAGCTCTCCCTGTGTATTTAGTATTTCTCCCTAAAATATCATGTTCCTTCAGCATCTCCCTTTCCCTTCTCAAACTGGTTTCTCACCTGTCTGGTGCCTTCATTTGCTGCTGGAGAAATCAGCCACGCGACTGGTTTCCCCAAGAGCTTTCTGTGACATCGCTCAGGTAGTATCATAATTAAATTAACATTAAAGACAATCATGGTTGAATAAATGTTGCTTGCATTGCCCCCAGGATAGCTATGATGTTTCAAAGCACCCAAAGGAAGCTCCAGGTTTGATGAGAGATGAGAGTAGTTAGTATTTACAAAGCTGTTGAGAAGATGCTGATGAAAGCGCTCTTTCAGCCCCGACTCCTTTTGATTCAGCATGCCTCAAAGGAGGAGAGTCTTTGGCAGATGGGTTGAGAGCACAAGATGGGAGCCATGAAATCAAAGCAAGGTCCTAGACAAATGGAAACAAATTTACACTGTCTCATCCACGGTTCCTCCTTCTCCTCGGTGCTAGGCTCCTCCAAACGTGTCTGCAGTGACTTAGGTCTTGCGTCTGCACAGTCCTGGAAACAGAGAAACAGTCACAGTATGATTCATGCTCTATTTTTCTGAGTTTAGATAGAAATTAGAAATTGACTGTTTTTATACAGCAGCCAAAACATTGACATTAAAATATATAATCTGTATGTGTGGCATAGCTCCATAGCACTCACCCACAACCATTTGAGGGTTAGCATTTGAGGGTTAGCATAGTATGGTAACAAGATTATGGCAACAAGAATGATTGATAACTGGGAAATAGAGGGAAAAAATGTGGAGGCCGTGACAGACTTTGTATTTCTAGGCGCAAAGATTACTGCAGATGCAGACTGTGGCCAGGAAATCAGAAGACGCTTACTTCTTGGGAAGAGAGCAATGTCCAATCTCGATAAAATAGTAAAGAGTAGAGACATCAGACTGGCAACAAAGATCCGCCTAGTCAAAGCCATGGTATTCCCTGTAGTAACCTACGGATGTGAGAGCTGGACCTTAGGGAAGGCTGAGCGAAGGAAGATAGATGCTTTTGAACTGTGGTGTTGGAGGAAAGTTCTGAGAGTGCCTTGGACTGCGAGAAGATCCAACCAGTCCATCCTCCAGGAAATAAAGCCCAGCTGCTCACTGGAGGGAAGGATACTAGAGACAAAGTTGAAGTACTTTGGCCACATCATGAGGAGACAGCAAAGCCTAGAGAAGACAATTATGCTGGGGAAAGTGGAAGGCAAAAGGAAGAGGGGCTGACCAAGGGCAAGATGGATGGATGGCATCCTTGAAGTGACTGGACTGACCTTGAAGGAGCTGGGGGTGGTGACGGCCGACAGGGAGCTCTGGCGTGGACTGGTCCATGAGGTCACAAAGAGTCGGAGACGACTGAATGAATGAACAACAATAGTATGGTGGTTTGAGTGTTAGATTTCTTTTTTGTTGTGTCAGGAGCGACTTGCGAAACTGCAAGTCACTTCTGGTGTGAGAGATTTGGCCATCCGCAAGGATGTTGCCCAGGGGAAGCCTAGATATTTTGATGTTTTATCATCCTTGTGGGAGGCTTCTGCCAAGGTATCTACCTTGGCAGCCACCTCTCCACAAAAGTCAACATTGACACTGAAATACAACACTGCCTGAGCTCTGTGAGTGGAGCTTTTTTCCGAATGAAGCAGAGAGTGTTTGAGGACTGGGACATATGTAGGGATACCAAGGTGCTTGTTTATAAAGCTATTGTCCTCCCAACCCTGCTATACGCCTACTAGATGTGGACTGTCTACAGACATCACATGCAACTCCTGGAACGATTCCATCAGCGCTGCCTCTGGAAAATCCTACAAATCTCTTGGGAAGACAGGCGGACAAATGTCAGCATGCTGGAAGAAGCAAAGACCACCAGCATTGAACGATGGTCCTCTGCTGTCAACTCTGCTGGACCGGCCACGTTGTCCGGATGCCCGACCACCGTCTCCCAAAGCAGTTGCTCTACTCCGAACTCAAGAATGGAAAATGGAATGTTGGTGGGCAGGAAAAGAGATTTAAAGATGGGCTCAAAGCCAACCTTAAAAACTCTGGCATAGACACTGAGAACTGGGAAGCCCTGACCCTTGAGTGCTCCAGCTGGAAGTCAGCTGTGACCAGCAGTGCTGTAGAATTTGAAGAGGCACGAATGGAGGGCAAAAGAGAGAAATGTGCCAAGAGGAAGGTGCGTCAAGCCAACCCCAACTGAGACCACCTTCCACCTGGAAGCTAATGCCTTCACTGCAGGAGAAGATGCAAATCAAGTATAGGGCTCTACAGTTACCTACAGACCCACCAGAACACTGACCTTGGAACACCATTCTATTTGGACATTGAGGGACCACCTAAGTAAAGTAAGTAAGTAAGTAAGAGGCTTTTCTCATATCTCTGCATAAGGAGCTGGAGCTGATACAGGGAGCTCATCCGCGCTCTCCCCGGAGCCAGCTTGCTACTAGAAGTGATAGAATGCAAGGCATGAATATGAGGTGTTGTTGTGAGTCTTCAAGTCATTTCAACCCAAAATAATTCATTTGCAGGATTTTCATGGCAAGATGTGTTCAGAAGTGCTTTGCCATTGCTTTCCTCTGAGTGCGAAGGGCTGAAGGTCACCTAATGGGTTTCAGGGCCAAGTGGGGATTTGAGCACACACACAGATTTTTTTTATTAATCTGCCAGCTAGCAGATGCTTTGCACAGAGCTCTCTCACCTTCATAACAAGCTCTACCCCTTTGTAGTTTCGTCTTTTATTCCTCCACAGGCACAGCACAATTTTCTTTATTTTCCGATGGAATGGCAAGGTAATCCGTCCTATAAACCAAAATGGAAAGGCTAAGATATCCAAACTGCCACTTTCTTTCCACACCTAAGTGATGAAACATTGACTTTCCATACCAAAAGTTAGAGGTTTGATCCTTGACCCTTCTAGCTGAAAGGAGAGATCTCAGCAGAAATGAGAACAACCTTTGCTAGAGATAATAGAATTGCTGCCAGGAAAGCAATATGGAGACATACTATAGCTGTGTCTGATTATGAGACCTATAGCATACCTCTGAGTTACTTATTCCGTTGCTATTGGAATGTAAGTGTTATTGCCTGGATTTCATTGACTTTGTTTCCCAGAGTCTAAATCAGTGGTTCCCAACCTGTGGGCCATGGACCACCAGTGGTCCACATGAATGAAAATATGGCCCATGGCCTCACCGTTACTACACAGTTGCAGCAAGAGTAACTGATCTCATGAAACCATTTTCTAAAATAGCTTTTAGAAAAAAATTAAAATCATGGTTCTGGGACCAGGCCTTCGGACAGTAGATGTATGTAGCATTTTGTAAAGACATTGACTGGAATGGCGATTTGACTGACGAGACTGTTTTATTGTTTTAATGCTTGTTGATGTATTGTTTTAATTATGATTTATGTTTATGTTTATGTTTAATTAATATACCGGTGGCAAAAATTTGTGCTTTTTTAATCTGTTTATTTGTTTTGTTCTGTTATAAATGTTATACAATGGTATGGTTGCTGATGACATGATAAATATATGTAGTGGGTTAAAGCGTTGAGCTGCTGACCTTGTTGACCGAAAGATCACAGGTTTGATTCCGGGGAGCGGCGTGAGCTTCCGCTGTCAGCCCTAGCTTCTGCCAACCTAGCAGTTCGAAAACATGCAAATGTGAGTAGATCAATAGGTACCACTACGGTGGGCAGGTTTTTTTGTTTGTTTTGTTTTGTCGTATCAAGAGCGACGCTCCTGTTGTGAGAGAATTGGCCGTCTGCAAGGACATTGCCCAGGGGACGCACGGATGATTTGATGTTTTACCATCCTTGTGGGAGGCTTCTCTCATGTCCCCACATGAGGAGCTGGAGCTGATAGAGGGAGCTCATCCGCCTCTCCCCGGATTCGAACCTGTGACCTGTCGGTCTTCAGTCCTGCCAGCACAGGGCTTTAACCCACTGCGCCACCGGTGGGCAGGTAATGGCACTCCATGCAGTCATGCTGGCCACATGACCTTGGAGGTGCCTATGGACAACGCCGGCTCTTCGGCTTAGAAATGGAGATGAGCACGACGCCTCAGAGTCAGCCATGACTGGTCTTAATGTCAGGGACAACCTTTAACCATGTTTAATTGCGGTTTTACTATTGTAATTATTTGTACTGGTGCCCAATGTAAGGCATTGAATTTTCCCATTTATGTGTAAACCACTTTGAGTCCCCTCAGGGCTAAGAAAAGGAGTATATAAATACTGTAAATAAATAAATAGTGCCGAGGCTTATTAAATATGGTTTTCTGTGGGTGAGCAGATGGCAGCTACTGGATGGCCTATGTTCTGTATCAGAAACTAGAGCTGATGTAGTCTATCCAATGCAATCCAATGCAGTCTAACAAAATTGAATCTAAAGTTGACCAAAAACTGATTTGCAGCCCTTTTGGTACTAATGTTAGAGAGGTTAAAAAAACAAAAAAGATTGGGAACCACTGGCCTAAATGAAGGAGTGACTCTATCTACATGGACCATCTTAACTGACAACTTTACAAATGTAAGCCTGTGACACTAGTATTATCATTTTTGTCTTCTCCTTCATGAGTTTTCACATTTTCAACTGCATGGGTTTTCACACATTGGGCTCAAAGCCAACCTTAAAAACTCTGGCATAGACACTGAGAACTGGGAAGCCCTGGCCTGTAAGCGCTTGAGCTGGAGGTCAGCTGTGACCAGCAGTGCTGCAGAATTTGAAGAGGCATGAATGGAGGGTGAAAGAAACATGCCAAGAGGAAGGCGTGTCAAGCCAACCCCGACCGGGACCGCCTTCCACCTGGAAACCAATGCCCTCATTGTGGGAGACGATGCAGATCAAGAATAGGGCTCCACAGTCACCTACGACCCACCCTGGAAGATAATACTACTCGGGCAACAAGAGATCACCCAAGCAAGTAAGTAAGTAAGTAAGTAAGTAAGTAAGTTTCACACTTTCACTGCTGAAGCTTTGAAAACTTAGATGGTATGTTCTGTGCATTTTGGTATTTCTATTTGAGGGATTTTGGATGTTATTGTATTTTCCCATGTTTATGTTGACAATGACATAGATATGAACTTCCACTTGAGTGAATGGGGAAGCTCTTTGAAATAGAGAGTTCTTGTTCTATATTGTTGGATTTTCTACAAAAGCATGACCTAAGGTGCATCTTCTTTCCCCCATGTTGGTACAGCACACTTGTGATTTGTTCCTTCTCTTGTCCCTTTCCAAAGAACTTTGGTTATTTCTACTTACGCATTTTCTTGGGCAGCTTCCTCTGCTTTGGAGACTTTCCTATAGCAGTAAACCATTTCTACGAGCAGCCACAAAGTAAGGAAGATCAAGAGAATATACATCATTACTTGAGAGACAATGGATGTGACATCTTCCCCAGCTGTACAAGAGACAAAAGAAACGTAATGACTGTTGAGACTTCTCTCTCCATGGGATCCAGCAGACTGTGCCCTACTTTGGAGCCAAGTCTGCTTTACCTTTGAGCTTTGATAGCTTTGTGTTACTTAAAAAATAACCCTGAAGATCTATCATGAAGAAACTGAATTGCCAGCTTTTCTTATTTGTGGTTTAACCTTTTGAGTCTTCTAAGTAGGCGGCACTGGACAGACCTAGTTATTTTTATAGGGCACACTGTGCCAGTTGGAAAATTACAGCACCTTTCAGTTCCAAAGTTAAACTTTTCCTGGATTGTTGTAGGTTTTTTCGGGCTACATGGCCATGTTCTAGAGGCATTCTCTCCTTACGTTTCACCTGCATCTATGGCAGGAATCCTCAGAGGTAGTGAGGGCAGTTGGAACTAGGAAAAAGGGTTTATATATCTGTGGAATGATCAGGGTAGGACAAAGAACTCTTGTCTGTTGGAGCTAGGTGTGAATTTTTCAACTGACCACCTTGATTAGCATTTGATGGCCTGGCAGTTGTTTGGTGTGGCTTGTTGGTGTCTGAGGGAATCTTTTTGTTGAGAGGTTATTAGATGTGCCTGATCGTTTCCTCTCTGTTGTTTTGCTGTTGTAATTTTAAAGTTTTTTTAAAATACTAGTAAATGTTGGGGGTGCCCTGAAATTTGCTTAAATCTATCCGAATGCACCTCTTCCTATAAACCATCAAGGATGTTAAGATCTTCCAGAGAGGCCCTGCTCTCGGTCCCACCACCTTCGCAGTTGCGTTTGGTGAGGATGAGAGACAGGGTCTTCTCTGTGGTGGTCCCCCCAGCTATGGAACAATCTCTCTGGCCCCTCCCTCCTGTCCTTCAGGAAGCAGCTAAAGTCCTGGCTGTGGAATCAGGCATTCGCAGATTGATGGATGATCCAGTACAGCTTAAGTGGTAATGGACAACAACAATCGGATTGAGTTTGATGATGAGTTGGATGATGCTTTTCACTTGTTGAACTGTTTTTATACACATTTAGATCTTATTTAATATGTATGTGGTTTTTATGATGTTATTTCTTGTATTGTATAGCATTGAATTTTTGCTGTTAGCTGTTCTGAGCAAATAAATAACTTAACCTCTAGAGCAGTGATTCTCAACCTTTGGTCCTCCAGCTGTTTTGGACTTCACCCCCCGCCCCCCAATAATTCCTAACAGCTTGTAAGCTGTCTGGGATTTCTGGGAGTTGAAGTCCCAAACACGTGGAGGACCAAAGGTTGAGGACCACTGCTCTAGAGTCTCCCTGTAGTTTTTGGATGGTGTGGACAGCAGGATAAGGAGCAATTTAGACCTTTCCACTGTCCACATGGGGCACCACCACTGTACCATTTTCCTAGTGCTTATCAGCACTGGGAAAGAGGGATGGATCATGGCCATGTCACTGCCATAGCCATTTCCAGCTGGCCGCAGAGCTCAGTATGATGGTCAGGAGCTCACATGGAATTTTGTGGCCAGCTGAGAATGGAAATGGTGAAGTGATAGTCTGCCAGGACCAACGTTATCTTAACCCACCATAACAGCAGGTTCAGGATGATGTGTTGCATGTGGCTGCCTCCGGGCCAATCCAAAGCATTTCTGTTCCAAACTAGCCCCAGATTTACTGGCCAGGTAGACGTTGTCATAGTCTTTTTACTATAGGGGAACCCTTAAAATAATTTTCAGGCCTCAAGAAACTTTTTCATAAAAAGTATTATCTCTTAAGTTCAAAAAGAAACCCAACTTCTTGTGGGACTCATGGCAATCTTTCCTGTAAACCCAGGATTTGGGGAGTCCCTAATTAGGAAGCCCTGATGGAAGGGATTGCCCCCATCATACCATCCTCCAGTACTGTGAGGTGGATCAGCGTCGTTCGGGTATAGAGCGGACGATGGCCCTCAAAGTTGAACTCCCGAGTGATGTTGCAGGTGTAAATCCCTGAATCATTCAGGCTGATGTTGAGTACAGAGATGGACACGTCCTGCATGTCAGCGCTGCCATTCCACTGGAGCCGGCCACGGAAGCGGCTGTCAAGTTCCCGCTTCTCATTTCTGTACTCATAGATCTGCAGGGAAAGGAAGAAGGCAGTCACTTCCAATCACCAATAATGTCATTTAATATTTTTCCTTGTATTTTTATGCTGTACAACTATAGCACTAAGGTTCTGTCTCTTTTTGTGATGGTTTGGTTATATGCTATGGAATCCTAGAATTTGCAGAATCCACTGTTTAATATTTCTAAGTACTTGAGATGCAAACCTTAAGAGTCCACAAAATGGAGTCATGGCTAGTAAAGAATATCCATAGAGTTGTAATGGTTGGGCCTTTAGAGAATAACCTGAAGTTTCCTCTCCTAAATAATTACATTTCTTAATCTTTCCCCATCACCAGTTACAAGGATCATTTAAAGAAGAAAAGAAAGAGTAGATAATTTAGAGCATGGGAAATAAGTTATGACATTCAGAAATGTCACAAAGGGTGGTTCTACACTGGAGAATGCCAGGCTTTAGCACAGCTACCAAATCACCACTAATGATAAGATCTCCCAACCAAAAGATTGCCAGTTCGAATCCCTGGGTCAGCATGAGCTCCTGACTGTCAGCCAAGCTTACTGTTTACCTAAGCAGTTTGAAAATAGCTTGACTTATAAATAGAGAAATTAGGTACCACTAAAAGAAGCGGGGGAGGTATTTTACGACACCAAAAAGAAAAAGTTCAGAAAAATGTCCAGTGACCAAAAGGAAGGAGGAATTCCTGATGGTTCTTTGTCATAGAGGATGGAGCAACAGCACTCCCCTGTGGCTGGATTTGAGCACAAACTCCAAGGTGCCAAAAAGCTGGATGTCAACACATTTTTTCCGTTTCTGTTCTGTTTGTCTCTGTCTTATTCAAAACATCACTGAATATTTGCCGTGTATGTGTACTGTGATCCACCCCGAGTCCCCTTGAGGAAATAGGGCAGAATATAAATAAATATAAATTCAGACAGACAGAATTTTGGAGCATAATCCTCCTGACCTCACAATCATGTTAAAAAACAAAGTATGGATTGTCGATTATTATTATTTAAAACACAACAAGATGAGTCCACAGCAAACACTCTGCTGGCTGTTGAATTGGATCACACGTCGGACACTTCCCAAGTGTCTAGGACTGTGTAATGTATCGGCGAATAATGTGTGCAGATCCCAGTAAGGTGGCCTTTTGCAGCTGGTAAATAGTAATTTTGTCAGTGCCAATTGTGTTTAAGTGCATGCCAAGGTCTTTAGACACTGCACCCAGTGTGCCAATCACCACTGGGACTCCCTTGACTGGCTTGTGCCAGTCTTTGCAGTTCGATCTTTAAATCCTCATATCATGTCAGCTTTTCCAGTTGTTTCTCTTCAATCCTGCTGTCGCCTGGGATTGCAACATCGACAATCCATACTTTGTTTTTTAACATGATTGTGAGGTCAAGAGGATTATGCTCCAAAATTCTGTCTGTCTGAATTRGGAAGTCCCAGAGTAGCTTGACGTGTTCATTCTCTGTAACTTTTTCCAGCTTATGATCCCACCAGTTCTTTGTTGCAGGCAGATGGTATTTGTGGCACAAGTTCCAATGAATCATCTGAGCAATGGTGTTATGCCTCTGCCTGGAGTCTGTCTGCGCGATCTTCTTGTAGCAGCTGAGGATGGGATCTATTGTTTCATCTGCTTCCTTGCAGAGTCTACATTTGGGGTCTGTTGTCAACTTTTCAATTCTGGCTTTGATGGCCTTGGTTCGAATGGCTTGTTCTTGGGCTGCCAGAATCAGGCCCTCCTTTGTRTTCTTTTTCAGAGTTCCATTTGTGAGCCACAGCCATGTTTTTTTCTTTGCCAATTTGGTTCTCAGTTTTTACCAGAAACTGTCTATGGAGAGCCTTCTTTTGCCAATTTTTTTTTCTGCTCTGGATTCTGTTTTTATGGTATTCACTCTTTGTCTTTTGCACTCTAAGTAGTTTACTACTATTGACTTCCCTCAATGTTGGTTCTTGACTGCCTTCCACATAATCTACCAGTGCGTTTTTCTCTTCTTRTACCATTTGTTTCACTTGCAGAAGCCCTCTCTCTGCCTCCTGATTTTCTGGGCACATAAAGTCTGTTGACATCACTATGCGTAGTGGATTGTCATCAGTTTTCTTGTTTTTCTGTCCAGATCATCCAGCTCTGCTTGCGTCCAGTTCACAATCCCAGCAGTGTATCTAATGACGGGGATGGCCCAGGTGTTGAGAGCCTTGATTGTATTTCCACCATTTAATTTGCTCTTTAAAACCTTTCTGATTCTTTGGATATATTCTTTGCTGACCACATTTTTCACCTGCCCATGCTTGCTATTGTCCAACTGTAGTATGCCCAGATATTTATAGGCTGCTGCTGCTGCTGCTGCTGCTGCTTCTTCTTCTTCTTCTTCTTCTTCTTGTTGTTGTTGTTGTTGTTGTTGTTCTTCTTCTTCTTCTTCTTCTTCTTCTTCTTCTTCTTCTTCTTATTACTATTATTATGGATTTTGACATCACTTTAAGCATTTGACAAGGTCTATCTTAAGAGGGCTGGCACCTCATTAAACTGCAACTTCCGGGATTCCTTAGCATTGAGACATAGCAGCTAAAGTGTATTAATTTTATAGTGTAGATGTACTCTAGGATTCCCCCCTGAAAGGAAAGAGGTCAATAGGGTATATTCTTGAAAGCCCTTTTTGATTTCTCATCTCATCAAGCTTGTATCATCCAGAGGTTACTTACAGGAATATCTTGGCCCCCTTCAGCCTTGTAGAACCATTTGACCACCGTGTTGGCGGAAACCTCTTCTCGCTTCATGCAGGAGATGCACATGAGCTTCATGCGTGAACCCTGCACTGCCTGCTTCTCCGATGGCACTTCAACGCAAACTGCAGAGCAGATGCCGACTGCAGATACAAAAGGGACAGGGATATTTATTTATTGTGTCAGGAGATAACCAAACAGTTGTATTGCATTAAAACAAATGAACAAAAAACAAAACAAAACACAAAGTTTGCAAACTTGGTATTTGATTAAATGCCCTTTGACCAGATTCCAGGGATTAGATTGCATGTTTGAATAGATACACTGGGGTTGAGAGACCCATGTGAAAGTAGGATGAGGAGGGTAGAGGGACACAAACACAAAGGGTGCATCAGAAGTGTAGAATGAATGCAGTTTGGCACCATGCAGTTAAACACCATGAATGCAGTTAAACACCATGACTCAATGCAACAGAAAGATTGGGGTTGTAGTTTTACAAGGTCTTTTAGCCAAACTACAAATTTTGGGGTTCCATAGCACTATGCCTTGGGAAATAAGGTGGTGTCGCACTGCATTCATTCCACAGTGTAGATGCGCCCACAGACAGAGGAGGAATGACAAAGAGCAATCTGTTAGTTAAGCATCTCCTCATTCTCAATGAAAAATAAAGCTTTTGATTAATTGCTGGCATTCATTGAGAATGGATTAAATAACAGGATTTGTAAAAGCTGCCCTCCTTGTGTGCTGATCCCAATAATCTGTATTTAATAATAACCTTGGGCTGAACCAGCCAGTGCTTTACAGATTACATATGTGCCATTCCTTCTTTCTCTGCAAAGGTCTCCAATTTTTACACCTTTTTGACATTTCAGACAGTTTGATTTGCTTTCAATTTTTGGGGCTAAAATTAAAACTGATATATTTGGTATACATGTGGATCACAGCCAACTAACTGGACATTATATAATCCAGAATCAGGGCATAAACGCTAAAAGTTATTTTTTTCCAATTGGGGATAAAAGAGTTTCTAAACAGAGACGGTGTTCAAATACAGCTCTGAGTCCTGCTTTAGGGGCTACATAAAATCATAGAAGGACAACACATAATGTTGCTTAATACCATAATTATGTTGGCACACTGCCCATGGCTTGAATATTCCTATTTAGAAGCCAAGGGAAGAAATTATTGGACCAAAGATTGTAAGACATTTACTGGACAAGAGGAAAACTGTGGACAAAAATGGGTCAGTACTCTATACTGGATGGGGAGAAATTGGATGATTCTGCCAGCAATCAGAGCTTAAGTGAATGACTTGTCTTTCATGTTTGGTAGCAACAAGGCAGTTGAAGTTACTCATTTACTATGTAGAGTCAGCTCTCTTGAGTTAGGATCAAAATTGGAAAGATGTGAATTTTTTTTTTCGTGTCAGGTGCAACTTGAGAAACTGCAAGTCGCTTCCGGTGTGAGAGAATGGGCTGACTGCAAGGACATTGCCCAGGGGGCGCACAGATGTTTTATCATCCTGTGGGAGGCTTCTCTCATGTCCCTATATTGGAAGCTGGAGCTGACAGATGGGAGCTCACCCTGCTTCCCAGATTTGAACTGCCAACCTTTCGGTCAACAGTCCAGCTGGCACAAGGATTTAACCCATTGCACCACTGGGGGCTCCTTTGTGAAAAGTAAAAATGCTATATAATTCTTTCACTTCTCTGGGTATCTCCATTGCAACTCTGTGGTCAGCTTCTGGGGGAAGTAAACCATACAGTTAAAGATCTATAATTAGAGATGCCATATTCATCAAATCCACTGATGTAAAGATTCCTAATCCACAGCATTTAAGGCTAACCTAGAAGAGCAGCAACACTTCCCCTAGAAGTCTCTAACATGGCGGACCAGCCAGATACTGTAGACTCTCATCATCCATGGGAATTGCTAGATACCGGATAACTAGTTTCTGGTTGCTTGAGAGTTACAATGAAAAGTAGGCTAACTAATACTATACTCAGTTCTATAGTACACCACAAACTCTGTATTAATTTGATATGAGTATTGAACTATAATAATCAAAAAGAAATTCAGACAAGTAAAAACCTCCGGTGGCTCAGTGAGTTAAACTGCTGAGCTGCTAAACTTGCTGACTGTAAGGTTGCAGGTTCAAATCCAGGGAGTTGTATGAGCTCCTGCTGCTAGACCCAGCTTCTACCAACCTAGCAGTTCAAAAACATGCAAATGTCAGTAGATCAATAGGTATGGGAAGGTAACTGTGCTCCTTGCAGTCATGCTGGCCACATGACCTTGGAGATGTCTATGGATAATGCCAGCTCTTCGGCTTTGAAATGGAGATGAGCACCAACCCCCAGAGTTGGACATGACTGGACTTAATGTCAGGGGAAAACCTTTACCTTTACCTTAAAGACAAATGTAATTTAATGGAACATTCCTCCTATTTTTTTGCATTATAAAACAGATTTTTTATTTTAAGGATTATTCCTTTGATTTTTTCCCCAGTTGCTTGGGAGTCCTGTTTGCATGAATTCTGGTTAACTAAGAGTGTACTTTACTTAATAAGTAGCTAACACAGAATAGTGGATTCTTTTGTATCTTGAAAGCAGATGGTTAAAAATAAAGATAACATTCAAGGATGGATAGGTGTATCTGGGTCATAAAAATAATCGAAAAGATTTCTGAAAGACAAGACGTCAACAATTAGCAAACAGTTCGCACATTCTTGGTCGGGAAACTTCTGGGCTGCTTCCAAATAGGCATGGGGAATATACCAATGTAATTATAATTTTATGCAATGGCATATCATGTATTTATTTCTTATAAAGACAACACAAGAAAGCCTTAAGAGTAACTTGCCAGGCTTTTGTCATTTTAGCATCTCGAGACAAATATGCATCATGCAAATGAAAGGTTTTGAACCCTTTTGGGAATATGAAAAACCATGCCACTGTCGCTTTCGTTTTCTTAATCTGAACGTATAGGCTAAAAACTCACAATATTTTCAAATGCAAGCATAATATTTGAATAATTGAATAATTAAAAGCTCCAATAAGAGCATGCTGTGCCACGAGAAGCCCCAAACCATTTCATCCTGTTCTTTTCCAAAACCGCAAGAGACAAGAATATTTGCCCTTACGTTATGAACCCAAAAAGGTGCATTTTCCACCTGCCTAACAGAATTGTAGACTTCTGCAGTTCTAATGCATCCACTTAAGTATCTGATGCCAAGGTTTGACAAGTGAATATCACTCAACAGTTGGAACATTTTCTTTTCCAACAGACATACATATGTGTAATTCTGCATATATCCTTTCCAAGTGACATCCAGTATTAGCAGGTCTTTGGTACCAAGTGAACTATGTCAGCAGCCTCCCTAAAAATATGTTTGTCACGGAAAACACCCCAGATTATCTGAGCCATGAAGTTGGCACTTTGCTTTAAGGTTTCATTTACATTAAAGGGCTTTTTAAAATAGGATGCTAAAAGCACTTCTACATTTCTCATGCGATTCGTGCATGGATATGAAGCTTGCTAATGCAATGTGCAAGGGCGGGGGGGAGGAAAAGTACCAACTGAAAGCAGAGTGTGTAACGTACACAATCTAGGGATTTATAGTTATGGGGAGTGCGGATCCTCATTCAATGCCAGGTTTGAAGTGCTCCACAAAGCCTCAAAGCATTCAGGCTCTGCTAGAATTAACAAAAGAATAGGCATGTCCATTTTCACCCCCTTTGCAATATCTTGTTAGGCTGACATCCAAATAAAATTCTCATAAGTATGCTACTCTAAAAGGTGTAATCGTTCCCTATTTGAATTTCCAAGATCAGTATATCTTTGGGGGGAACCATATTTCCCTCGTCACTTTTGTATTGCGTTCATGAGTAACCCCATACAGAAGGTAGGAAGGATGGATCTTGTGCTCTGCCACCGAAAGGGCTTCTGAAGAGCTGACCCAGTAGCCATTTCAATACCAAGTGCATGGCTTAAAAAAATGAAATCTATAAAGTTGGATTTGGCATTCAGCAGAACAATAGAGACATCTTCTGGTTTCATTACAGGGATGAAGATTGGTGGACACTATGCAACATTGTTCTATTGAGTCCTTGCTCTAGATTTAAAGCTTGAAGGTGTCTGCTTGGGGAGGGGACACTGTATTTAAGTAATCCTTAAATACAGAGTCCCATCCCCAGTGTGTTCACCTTTAACAACATGCAATTCTGAAAAAAATAATGCATTTCCTATACTAGTGTTTCTTAACCTGGGGGTAGGGACCCCTGGGGAGGGGGTCACAAGGAGGTGTCAGAGTGGTCACCAAAGAACATCAGAAAACACACTATTTTCTGTTGGTCATGGGGGTTCTGTGTGTGAAGTTTGACCCAATTCTATCACTGGTGGGGTTCAGAATGCTCTTTGATTGTAGGTGAACTATAAATCCCAGCAACTACCACTTCAAAATGTCAAGGTCTATTTTTCCCCAGACTCTACCAGTGTTAACATTTGAGCATATTGAATATTTGTGCCAAGTTTGGTCCAGATCCATCATTGTTTGAGTCCACAGCGCTCTCTGGATGTAGGTGAACTACAAGTCCAAAACTCAAGGTCAATGCCCACCAAATCCTTCCAGTATTTTCTGTTGATTAAGGGAGTTCTGTGTGCAAATTTGGTTCAATTCCATCATTGGTGGAGTCCAGAATGCTCTTTGGTTATAGGTGAACTATAAATCCCAGCAACGACACCTCCCAAATGACAAAATCAATCCATACCCCAACCCTACCAGTATTCAAATTTGGGTGTATCAAGTATTATGTTTCATAACAGTAACAAAATTCCAGTTATGAAGTAACAACGAAAATAATGTTATGTTTGGGGGGGTCACCACAACATGAGGAACTATATTAAGGGGTCACGGCATGAGGAAGGTTGAGAACCACTGCCCTATATACATACACACACACGCACACAACAGTAGAGAAATATCACAAATTAGAAAATAATTTGTAACTCTATGCTAGGATATTGCAATCAGTGGATTGCTATGCAGGGACAAGCTGAACACCTTCCGTAGAGTTGCAACTTAATCTAATCACTTTTAGTTGTTAAGGTGTGTATGGACTTTTGAGGACATACACACATTCCTATGGCTTAAATAGGAAGATGAGACCAGAAAGGAAGGAAACAAAAATCCCTTTCTTTACACTATTCACAGGCATTGTCAGATGTGCTGAAGTTGCACTATTCCGCTTCCCCAACCCTCTCGGCAAAGACGTCAACAAAGAAAGCTAAGCAAATTCCTTTGTTCTCTTCCTGTTGTGGGGAGAGAAAGTTGGGCAAGATGGTAGAGCACAGGCTTGGGAAGACAACAGGCACCTGCCTTATGGTCCCACCACACCTGGCAGTGCCAGTTCTGCCTTTAGTCGTATCCATTGATTTCTAGTCCACGCGACTGCTTCATTGCATTGTCAAGATCCAGAAATCTAGGGCATGAGCAAAAAAGGCAATCTTCCAGGTGTTGCTGGGGTGCCACTCCAATCGGATGAGGCTGGCTGGGAGTTATAGTCCAATAGTCTATATGGAGTTAAGCTTTGCCCACTCCTGCCTTGGGGTTTTCTTCCTGACACCTCTCCTCATAGAATCATAGAACCACAGAGTTGGAAGAGACCTCATGGGCCATCCAGTCCAACCCCCTGCCAAGAAACAGGAAAATTGCATTCAAAGCACCCTCGACAGATAGCCATCCAGCCTCTGTTTAAAAGCCTGATGATGATGATGATGATGATTATGTAGGCACTGCGGTGGTACAATGGGTGAAAACCTTGTGCTGCTGAACTGCTGACCTGAAGGTTGACTGAACTGCTGACCTAAAGGTAGGCAGTTTGAATCCACAACATGGAGTGAGCTCCCATCTATCAGCTCCAGCTTCTGCCAACCTAGCAGTTCAAAAACATGCAAATCTGAGTAGATAGAATCATAGAATCATAGAGTTGGAAGAGACCTCATGGGCCATCCAGTCGAACCTCCTGCCAAGAAGCAGGAATATTGCATTCAAAGCACCCCTGACAGATGGCCATCCGGCCTCTGTTTAAAAGCTTCTAAAGAAGGAGCCTCTACCACACTTTGGGGTAGAGAGTTTCACTGCTGAACAGCTCTCACAGTCAGGAAGTTCTTCCTAATGTTCAGACGGAATCTCCTTTCTTGTAGTTTGAAGCCATTGTTCTGCGTCCTAGTCTCCAGGGAAGCAGAAAACAAGCTTGCTCCCTCCTCCCTATGACTTCCCCTCATGTATTTATACATGTCTATCATGTCTCCTCTCAGCCTTCTCTTTTTCAGGCTAAACATGCCCAGCTCTTTAATCCGCTCCTCATAGGGGTTTTTTATCCTCCACGCAAGGTGTTTATTTCTAAGACGCAGGTCAGAATCTGTATCCAAGTAGGATGAGCGTGTGGCTTCTCCACGTCCTTCTACTCAAAGATTCATTACGGAGTCTCAAGGCAATATTGGAAAAGATCTGCCTCGGGCTACTACTATTATTCACTATTATTACAATTATATGCTATTATTCCCAACTCCGGTGGTGTGCGAACCCTAGCCTTGGCAACCTCTGGTGAGGTTGAAAGCAACTCATTTCCCCCTCTTTGTTTGCACTCTGGTGCCAAAAGATGCCCTCCTGTCCATGTCAAGAGTGATTCATGCCAAGCTGAGACAATGCAAAGCCCCCCCCCCCCACCCCATACTTACCCCAGAGCACAGCCAGCAAGGAAGAAGCATAGGCTACTTTGGTCAGGGCAGCCATGGTGGGTTGGTGGATGGAGGAGGAGATGTCCAAGCTATCTGCCCAGCTGCTTGCCTTGGTGGATGGAAGAGGAGATGTCCAAGCTATCTGCCTAGCTGCTTGCCTTGTGTTGAATGGGGTCGGGGGGAAGCTGGAAGGAGGAGGAGGAGGGTCCTCCTTGCAAAGCCGAGGCTGGCAATGGACAGACAGCGAGGTTCAGCACCACGGAGAGCGCCTCCCTCTATGGACACTCAGCTCTGGGAGCCTCTCTTCTCTAGTCCTTCCTGCCCTGGGAGGGGTCCCCACTGTCTCCCACTCTCCCCAGCCTTTCCATGGGAAAGAGGCATCCCGAAGACCTGAGGAAGGCGAGGAAGATCGGTGAGCCTTGGGGGACCTGAACGAGGAGAAGGAGGAGGAGGAGCAACAGGAGGAGGAAGGCTGGGCTGGGCTGGGAACAGTCCTTCCAAGCCAAGCATGCGCAGAGCTCGCCTGGTCAAAGCAGGCGACCCCTCCCATGTCGAAGCAGGGGGGGGGGGATTGCCTGCCTCCCTGCTTGGCTTCCTTTCTTTCTTTCCCTTTCTCCTCCCTCCCTCTCCCCCTCTTTCCTCCCCCCACCCCTCTCATTCTTTCCCTCTTTCCTTCCTTCTTTCCTCTTTCTTTCCCTTTCCCCCATTTCCTTCCTCTCTTTCTCCCTCCATCTATTTCCTTTCATATCTTTCCCTTTCCTCCCTCCATCCCTCTATTTCATCCCCCTTTCTTTCCTTCCTTTATCTTTCTCTTTCCCCCTCTTTCTTCCCTCCATACCTCTATTTCTTTCCCCCTTTCCTCTCTCTTTCCCTTTCCCCATTTCCTCCCCTCTCTCCCCCTCCATCTATTTCCTTCCTTCTATATCTTTCCCATTCCTCCCTCCATCCCTCTATTTCTTCCCCCTTACTTCCTTCCTTTATTTCCCCCTTTCCTTTATTTCCCTTTCCCCATTTCCTCCCCTCTCTCTCCCTCCATCTATTTCCTTCCTTCCATATCTTTCCCTTTCCTCCCTCCATCCCTCTATTTCTTCCCCCTTCCTTCCTTCCTTCTTCCTTCCTTCCTTCCTTCCTTCCTTCCTTCCTTCCTTCTTCTTTCCTTTATTTCCCCCTTTCCTTTATTTCCCTTTCCCCATTTCCTCCCCTCTCTCTCCCTCCATCTTTGTCCTTCCTTCTATATCTTTCCCTTTCCTCCCTCCATCCCTCTATTTTTCCCCTTTCCTCTCTCTTTCCCTTTCCCCATTTCCCCGCCTCTCCCTCCCTCCATCTATTTTCTTCCTTCTATATCGTTCCCTTTCCTCCCTCCATCCCTCTATTTCTTTTCCTTTCTTTCCTTTTTTTCTTCTTTTCCTCCTTTTCTCCCTCCATACCTACATTTCTCTCCCCTTTTCTTCTGTCCTCTCTTTCTTTCCCTTTCCACATTTCCTCCCCTCTTCCTCTCTCCATCTATTTCCTTCCTTCTTTCTTTCCATAACTTTCCCCCTTCCTTCCTTCCGTTCTTTCCCTTTCCCCATTTCCTCCCTCCTTCCCTCTCTCCCTCCATTTTCTTCCTTCATTACATTTCTTTCCCCCTTTCCTTCCTCTCATTCTTTCCCTTTCCTAACTCTCTCCCCCTCCCTCCATCTATTTCCTTCCTTCTTTCTTTCCATAACTTTCCCCCTTCCTTCCTTTCATTCTTTCCCTTTCCCCATTTCCTCCCTTCCTCCCTCCCTCCCTCCCTCCCTCCACTTCTTTCCTTCCATTTCTTCCCCCTTCCTTCCTCTCTTTCTTTCCCTTTCCCCATTTCCTCCCCTCTCTCCCCCTCTTTTCCTTCCTTCCATATCTTTCCCTTTCCTTCTTTTCTCTTTCCTTTCCCTCTTTCCTCCCTTCCTTCCTTCCTTCCATTTCTTTTCCCATTTCCTTCCTTCCATTTCTCTTTCCATTTCCTTCCTTCCTTCCTCTCTCTCTCTCTTTCTTTCCCTCCCCCCATTTCCTCCCTTCCCCCTCATCCATCTATTTCCTTCCTTCCTTCCTTCCTTCCTTCCTTCCTTAGAACTGGACAGGGAGAGAATGAAAAGAGCCATTTCCCCTCTCCTTCCCTTTGCACATACAAATGTGCACATACAACTCCTTCTGTCTCCCTCCTTCCCTCTCTCTCTTTCTTTTTCTTTCCATCTATTTCTCTGTGCAAAGCTGGAACACTGAAAGAGATATTGAAAAAAGAAAAGAAAGAGAAGAAGAAATAAGGAGTAAAGAAAGAAAAAAATGACACCTGAGCAGCTTTCCAGAAGTTTTCCATTTTAGTACCCACTCCCTAACATAAAGAAAACAATATGCCTGGCTTTCTGCCAGCAAAGCTTTCTAGGAAACCTGTCTCTTCCTTTAAAATCTCTTCATGTCAACGAGGTGTTGGCAGGCCATTTTCTTCCCCCAAAGAGAAGTGCTCTGGCTCAAGTCCGGTGTGCCCAGCCCACTTTGGCACTGAGCCACACAGACAGCAACGGGCACGCTGCCCGCACATCCTGCCATGTGCTTTGGGTGGCCTCTGCTGGGAGACTGTGTCCACATGAGGTTGCAGTCTGGCCAGGCAGTTTCATAAGAACTGGGGGGAGGGGGTGAGCTTGGGTGAGAGCAATGGTTGGGTACTCCTGTCAGAACGAATGGCATTGTCATGAGCCTGTAATGCTGACATTCGGAAAGCTCCAAAGGTCATCCTTGCAGCTGGAGCTGCCGAGAAATCCTCTGTGTTCCTGCCGGTGCTGAGAGGTTTAGTGGCAGGATCAGGGTGGGGAGTCCTTGCTTGGGAAAAAGATGCTACGTCTGTTTGCACGCAGCTCCAACTCTGTCAAACTGGACAGACTCTGATGTGCCTTTTTTGTAGACAGCAGAGATGGTCACTACTTGTGAGCAACAGTTAGATTCAGGAGGATCCATTACTTTCAATAGAGCCAGCCAAGAGGTCCTCTGAACCCTAAGTATATGCACTTGTTTCTGAATTCTTTGATCCATCTCACACATATAAAATGCTCTTTTGAAAGGCAATTCTCAGAAAGTCTTTATCCAAGCTGGAATGTGTCCAGAGTAGGGCGACTAAAATGATCAAGGGTCTGGATCACCTCCGAGGATGCTTGCCATAGATGCAGGCGAAACGTCAGGAGAAATGCCTCTAGAACATGGCCATATAGCCCGAAAAAACCCACAATAACTGAGTGATTCCAGCCATGAAAACCTTCGACAATACATCAAAAACTTCTTGATTTTAAGAGCTTTTCGGCAATGGAAGGGATTGTGCAGATCTTTAAACAGAAGATGGGATAAATGGCCCTAGTGGATCCTTTTCAATTCTATGGCTGTATGATTCCCTTGGAGTTCTGGCCAAAGCTAAGCAAAACCGTAGGTAGATCTGTTGGGATGTTTCCCCTAAGAGTTTTTTGCGGATGATATAATCTATGCCGTGTCTAGTGGAAGGGTATTTCTCCCTGCTGCTTTTTATAGATTTTTAGGATCTGTTAAGAAGCGTCTCATCTGGCAACCACATGCTCACAGGAGCACAATAGAAATGATGTATGATCATGGCAAGCCAGGTGCACATCACAAAATGCAAAGCTCTGGCTCTGACAGGGTATTTGGGTCAGCAAAGTGCAGACCTTGCTCTCTGGGCATTCATCACAGAGCAGACAGAAGACAAGACGTGTGATCACATTAATCCTGCTGACTCAGCCACTGTGCCGGTGGCAGCAAAACTTCCTTTCCTCCGTCTCTCGTATCCCTATGGCATTTGCCCTGGATTTTCCTCCTGCTCCCGAAAGTTCAAATTACTTAACAGGAATTAAGTGCTGTCTCACATGCTTATTTTTAAGCATTCGCATAAGAAGACGGATAATATAGCCCACTGAAATTCTCTCTTTCTCTCCACTTGTGCTCCTTCTATTTTTATCTGTTATATTCTAATTTATGCAATGCTTTTGATACAAAATAATAATTTCTCTCCATAAGCATTGCCTATGACGGCATTATATGCATGCACCTTCAAGTTGGTTGTCGACTTATGATGCTTTGCCTCCATTGCTTCATGTCCTAATCTCTGGAGCAGCAGAAACCAGCTTGCTCTATCTTCAATGTGATTTCCTTCCAAACATTTAGTCATTCATAATTGCCTAAGCGGATTCCGGTCACTATTGTTGTTCTAAAATCAAAGGCTTGCTTTAACCTCCAAAAATAAAATTTACATTCCTGTAAGCACTGATAGAAGGAGGCAAAGATTCATTTCTTGTCCTGTGACATACCCTATGTCACTGATGTTTACAATACTAGAAGTCAAACAGGATATTAGAATAGCATTACCATCATTTCATCTCATTGACTTACGGAAATATTTATGTACCACTCCATCAGAGTTCAGCACTAACATGTACCCATGTTGACCATAATTGTCTTTTCCAAGGTTCTGTGCAAAAATGACATGCTTAATATGGCTTGCATTCATGTTATTTGCTGGCTTCTAGCATTGGGAGTCAATGTGGTATACTGAGCTGGACTGCAGGATATCAGCATTAGCCATGGAAACATCCAGTGGGTTTCCATGTCTCAGTCTCTTAGGATCAGAGAAAGGCAATGTCAAATCAACCACTTCACTGACTTCTGATGCTTAATAGTTGCCCATATGATACATTAGGACATACCAAGGTGCTTGTTTATAAAGCTATTGTTCTCCCAACCCTGCTATACACTTGCAAGATGTGGACAGTCTTAGACGTCACATGCAACTCCTGGAATGATTCCATCAGTGCTGCCTCCGGAAAATCCTGCAAATCTCTTGGGAAGACAGGCGGACAAACATCAGTGTGCTGGAAGAAGCAAAGACCACCAGCATTGAAATGATGGTTCTCTGCCATCAACTTCGCTGGACCGGCCATGTTGTCCGGATGCCCGACCACCGTCTCCCAAAGCATTGGCTCTATTCCGAACTCGAGAATGGAAAATGGAATGTTGGTGGACAGGAGAAGAGATTTAAAGATG